TGATGGGGGGTGGACAGTGCAACCACTAAAAATAATGTTTTAATTTCTATTTTTTTAAGGCACGATTTTAATATGCCATAAATTGCAGAAGTGAAAAAAAATGTGCCCAAGATGATTTCCTAAAACAATTCTCCCCCCCATTTCAGCATAATGATCAATAGCATGCCTTTTAAAACAGCCCAAATTCATTTGTACATCCCTAGATTAAGTGCACTGTAAGAAGTTTGGAGAGATTTAATGCACCCTTTAGATCAGACAAGAGTATTGAAGCAAGGAGTGGATACTGGTGTGTCACAGGACTGCATGTTAAATGACTAATTTTGCAAACAGTTTTATGCTTCTAAGGATAGCAGAGCCACAGGATGGGGCAATACAAGCATCTCCCATAAAAGGCCTTTTAAGTTAGCAGGTGTATCTGTAATTCATGCACCTTAGGTAGAGGATACACATTACAGTATTTGTAAATGTATTGCTTCAGAAGGCTGAGGGAACTGCTGCATGGCTAAAAGCCACCTCCCCATGCGCCATTCCCACCTAAACTGGAACAGTAGCAGGTCAGGGAGAAAAGACCTACTTTAGTTTTCTCCCAGGTACAAATTTTCTCTATGCAAGTAGCGTACATCATGTAAGACCACACTGATCCTTCCCACCTACATTCTATACCCCCTCATTTTCTGGATTTGTACAGTGACTCAGCCAGTGATTAACCAGCAAACTTCCACCAGCCTGTCTTTCATGGAAATCAATACAAATTTTAATCTGGAAGGCAGATTCTATGGATAGAAAGCATACCAGGAGCTACTCAGAGGGGGAAAAGTGGTGGCTACTGCCATGTAGGCAAATTTATTTGTTGCTGTATTGTGAACGGTATAATCTTTTAAAAAGGCACATCTGTTTGAAAATCCACACTCTAGAATGGCAAGCTTGTACTTAAAGGAGCACCTGCACAGTCTCTGTTAAAAATGTGTAGTGTGACTGTGAACTTGTGCAACTGTACAGGTCATATTTCCCTTCTGCCCTGCAATTAGGCAAGTAAAGACACAGATTCAGTTATAAATCCCTTAAACAAGCGAGGAGTTGTACAACTTCAGTGTAGCATCAAGATTTCTGGCTGGTTCCTTTCAAACCTGAGAATTTCAGAACTGAATGAAATGTTTTATATGAAATCTCCCAGTTACCCAGAGCTGCTGGCATGCATTTTCCTCATGTACGAACTTTTTGTGGAACACCTTTGCACAAAGTCAGCTAGCCAGACAAGCTAATTTACTTTTCTGCATAAAGCTGCCATGTGCCCTTAACCGCATATATGCCCACAACTGGGTAAGAAAACACAGCAAATTGGGCCATACCATTGGCCATCTCCATGCACCCCAATATTTCTCCATCAGACAGCAGACACATGGCTGAGGAGGACACATAGCAGCAAGCATGTGGAAGAACCTGCCTGTGCAAAGCAGTCAATTTAAGAAGGAGCTATTGAGCAACTCACCCAGTATCTGAACCAGATATAGTAAACAAACCTTCAGCATTTCTCTCAAGGCTGGCAAAGTGACCTTGTTAGAAGGTAGATGAATATTCATGGCACAAGAAAAGCTCAGATTCCCAGTTGTGGGAAATATGCTTCACCTGGCACGCAAGCTATAATAATTTAAAGAGTTTCTGAATCTCTTCCCCAGCAGCTTCACTCAGTCCCAAAATCCTATATTTTTTCTCTTCACTGTGTGATACAGTTATCCCCCATGTCCTGGGCATATCGGTCACAGATAGCGGTCCGCAAATCCTCGATCTCCTTGTGTAGTTGTCTGACATCATCCAGCTTCTTTGCAAGCATGTCTGGCTTCAACAAGTCACCCTTTTCTTTAACTGAGCACTGCACAGCTGTGAAGGCACAGAGCACACACACAGAGAAAGCCACAGATTAGCTCCAGGGCTACTTTACAGATTAATATATTTCTGGGCTCCATTTAAGACAAGCACTAGACATCTAAACAGCATATTCAGCCTTCACTTTTGTGGACACATTTTGGTCTACAGACAGCTCAAAACCCAGCAAGAGGATGTCAAACTCTATCTTGCCATGATTTGTAAGGGGAGGGAAATTCCTGAGGGAGGGGTGAACAGCTGAGTGCATGTGAACTGCTCTATCATAGATGTTTTAACTCTTCCTCCCAAGTTACCTCCCGAGTCCAGGGACGACCTTGAAGCCAAGACTGTGCCAGCTTGCTATTATAAATAAGAAACCACATATTCACAGGTGTGTGTGTGGGGGGGTAGTGAGCGCAAAAGCTAGGCAAGATGAAGTGTTATTGGGTGCAGGGGACTGGGGGCTCTGTTTAAACTGTCTATATCTTTGGGTTCTCCTGCCAGAACCTCAGTACTGAACTAGCCTGGAACATGACTATATCTCAATAAACAAATCACTGCCAAAGAGAGTGTTGTTGAGAGTGACTCTGTCCAGGAGTCTGATAGAGGAGCACAAAACCTCAGTGGTCAGAAATTTAATGACAGTCACCAAGTCCTGCAAAAAGTAAAACCTGCAGTATTGCAAACTAAGTATATACTTGGATTGGCCAAATTTTATTCACAGCAAGGCCATTTAATAAATCTTCAGGGGGAAAAACTCCAAGGATATAAAGTTCTCCTAAATCCCCCTGTCCACTAAAATCTGAATAGCAATTAAGAAAGTAAGCAAAGTTCCCCTAAAACAGTGTCCTGATCCACTTTTCTGCATCAGAAGTACCTCAGAATTACTTACAGTGAATGCCTAGCAGCAAAGACAAATTGGGATCCTTCCCTTGAGTCCTCTGAGTCACAACACTGTAGACAGACTGCAAGTCCTGCAAACAGCTGGCCAGCTCCTTGTGCAGCTCTTCAGCAAAGTGGGCCACCTCACCGGGAAGCTGCTGGCTCAGTTCAATCTGTTGGAAGTGCTCCTGGAAAGCGAGATTCTTCTCAATCAGTTCCTGGTTCTGTGCAGACAACTGAAGAAAAAGATGTATAGATGGTGGCGTGTTACAGACAAATGCCTGGCTCTCTATCACTCCCTAGTGTGATACTAACATTTCACAGCTAATCCAGTGGCACCTTTAAGACCAACAAAGTTCAGTTCTGGGTATCAGCTTTCATGTGCATGCACACTTCTTCAGATACATTGAAACAGACTTCCTCAAGTCTTACATATAGGTGGTGGTGGTGGGGTTAGTTGACAGGAAGGGCTACTTAGAGTCAAGTCAACTTTATTGGTCTTAAAGGTGTCACTGGACTCAAACTTTGATTGCTTCAGGCCAACACAACTACACACCTGAATCTATTTCACAACTAAGTTTGAGCAGCAACCACAAGGCAGAGTTCACTTTCGAATGCTCTGTCATAAAACCTTAGATCATGGACTATGATCAGGACTATGTTATTTTCCATTCTATATTGTAACCCACACTGTGAGCCATGGTATATAATATTTTTGTACGTAAGTGTGTGAAAGAAAATTTGATGCCATGATGGGGAAAAACCCACCTTTTCGTCAGTGTTTTTCAGAAAAAATGAAATTTATGCAATACTTGGGAAGCATTAATGCCTTGTTTTCTGTAGGCATGTATGCCTGTACTAGAGAGAAAGGGCCATTGGGTACTTACCAAGAAGGGTCCTTCTCCTCTGAAATAAGGAGGACATCTTGATGGGTGTTTCCCACCATATCCTGAGGGAGGCAGGAACCAAACTTCACTTCCTGTCCTCTTGGTGGGACACACCCCTCAACTCCGTTTGGGAACTCCCAGAAGCAGTAACCATCAAACAATTCTTAACAACTGAGCCAACTGTGGCTGAACTGCAAAAAGTATCAAGAAGCATGTAAACAGAGAAAAGGGGAGATAGGGACAGGAAGGACTATCCAGGAAAGGCCAGAAGAATAAAGTACAGCTAGACAGAGGAGCTGCAGTGGCTCAAGTGGTTAAGACACTGAACTGCAGGCTGTGGAAAGTCGGTAGTTCAGCAGTTCGAGACCCAAGTGCGCCGCATGACGGAGTGAGCTCCCGTCTCTAGTTCCAGCTCCTGCCAACCTAGCAGTTCAAAAGCAAGAAATTGCAAGTAGATAAATAGGTACCACTTCGGTGGGAAGGTAACAGCGTTCCATGCGCCTTGGTGTTTAGTCATGCCGGCCACAAGACCACGGAAATGTCTTTGGACAGCACTGGCTCTTCGGCTTTGAAACGGAGAAGAGCACCGCAACCCTAGTCGGATTTGACTGGCTTTCGAGCAAGGGAACCTTTACCTTTAGACAGATGTAGACATGACGATGACACGGGAGGGCCAAGATGTCCTCCTTATCTCAGAGGAGAAGGACCCTTCTCAGTAAGTACCAATGGTCCTTTCTCCCTCTGAGAGGAGGACATCTTGATGGGACCTCCCACAGCAGTGTCCTCATCATCTGGGTGGGTCATCATCTCTGTCTGGCAGCACGTCTTGTAGGATTCTTCGGCCGAAAGCTGCATCAGCAGAATCATAGACACTGATCTTGTCATGTTTAATGAACGTGGAGCCAGAGGACCACGTAGCAGCCTTGCATATTTCTTCCACTGTGGCGCAGCTTGCCAGGGCTGCATTCGCTGCTGCGCTTCTAATTGAGTGAGCGGTTATTCCTGAAGGAGGCACCAGCTTTTGTGCCCTGTAAGCCTCAGCAATGCAGTACTTAAGTGTAGAGCTAATAGTGGACTTGGACATCTTGCACCCCTTATTAGGGGGTCAAATGGAAATGAAGAAAGATTCCGACTTTCTGAAGTCACTAGTGCGATGGAGAAAGGTCTTCAGAGCCTGTCGCACGTCTAATGAATGCCAGAGTCGCTCCTTCGGGTGCGATGGGTTTGGCCAGAAGGAGGTCAAGCAGATCTCTTGAGATCTGTGGAAACGAGAATTCACTTTAGGTTGAAAGGTAGGGTCCGTGGACAACACCACCTTCTTTATAAAATACACAGAGCCTAGGGCTGGCGGAGACTGTTCCCAGTTCTGACACCCGACGTGCAGAAGTTACGGCTACCAAAACCAAAGTCTTCATATGGAGCCACTTCAAAGGGTTAAACCTTAATGGGTTTAAACGGAGACTTGATCAACGCATTGAGGACCACGTTTAATCTCCACATGGGAAATTTGTGTAATGTCGGCAGATCCTGAAGTGATGCACCTTTAAGAAAATGTCGGATATGTGGATGTCTGGATAGACCCCATTCTTTGAATGAAGGCAGGACCGTAGACAGGGCTGCCACTTGCCTTCTGAGGGTGGAGGCCTTCAGGCCAGAGTCATGGCCGTCTTGCAGGAAAGCTAATACACTCTTGATGCGAGGCTTCAGAGGATCTATGGCTTTTCTTCTAGTCCATCTTACGAAGGCCTTCCAGGTGGTATTGTAGATCCGACAGGTGGACTGTCTTCTAGAGGCCAACATGGTAGTTGTCACTTTCTCGGAGTATCTGAGTCTGAGGAGTCTTTCCCGCTCAATCGCCAGGCAGTCAAATTAAGCCATCCTGGGTCCGGATGCCAGATGGGGCCCTGTGTCAGCATGTCTGGAGTCACTGGCAGGTGAAGAGGTGACTGGAGGGCCAGTCGCTGGAGCTCTGAGAACCACGGTCTGCGTGTCCAATATGGAGCCACTACTATGACTTCCGCCCTCTGTTCTCAAATCTTTCTCAGGAGTCGTGGAAGGACTGGAGTCGGTGGATACACAAACAGGAGGCCAGGAGGCCACTGAGACATCAGCGCGTCCTCTGCTTCTGCATCGTGGTGATAGAACCTGGTGAAGAACCTTCTCACCTTGAAGTTGAGAAACAGGTCCACACCGGAAGCCCAAAATGGTTCACAATCAGCTGGAACAGGTCTTGCTTCAGGGACCATTCCCCTTCCTGTAACTGGCAATGACTGAGCCAATCAGCCCAGGAGTTCAGGGTGCCCTTTATATGCTCCGCTTTGATGGAGGCTATGTTGAGTTCTGCCCACAGGAACAGCTTGGATGCTTCCTGTTGGAGACAAGAAGACCTGGAACACTCCTGGCTGTTTATGTAGGCCTTGGCGGCAATGTTGTTGGTTCTGATCAGCACATGATGGCCGGCCGGCAACCTGAGAACGGAAGTGCAGAAGTGCTAGTCTGATGGCCCTCAGTTCTAAGAGGCTTATGGCTTTCCTCTTTGGACCATAGTCTCTGAGCTGGGGAATTGATGAAAACAGTGCCACAACCCTGAAGACTGGCATCTGTAATGATCTGCTTCCAATCTTCGGTGTAGTATGTACGACCCTGCAAGAGGTTCTGCATTTTGGTCCACCAGGTTAAGCTGAACTTCACCTTGAGGGAGATCTGGACAAGTACATCCTCCCTTCTCATAATCCTGTATTGGTAAGGTTGCAGGAGTTGTAGAGGTCTTGCGTGCAGGCTTCCAATCTTCGGTGTAGTATGTACGACCCTGCAGGAGGTTCTGCATTTTGGTCCACCAGGTTAAGCTGAACTTCACCTTGAGGGAGCTCTGGACAAGTACATCCTCCCTTCTCATAATCCTGTACTGGTAAGGTTGCAGGAGTTGTTGTAGAGGTCTTGCGTGTAGGCGGAACAGTGTCTATACAGGATATGAACAGGCCCATCAACTTGGCGAGAGTCATGAGAGAGAATTGTTTGCTCTTGATAACTTGTCTGCATAAGAAACTAATCTTCTCCACTTTTGGACCGGGAAGGAACATGTGGTTTTGTGTTGTGTCCAAGATCACCTCTAGGTGTTCTATTGACTGAGAAGGAACCAGACAATTTTTCTGAATGTTCACTAGAAAACCGTGAGACATTAGGCATTGGATAGTGTCTGACATGTCCTGGAGGGACTTGACGTGCGAGCTGGAGCGGATCAGTAGGTTGTCTAGATAGTGGTGAACATGTACACCCCTCTCTCTCAGCAATACAATGGGGTGAATCAGCATCTTGGAGAACACCCTTGAGGCAGTGGAGAGACCGAAGGGTAGTGCTCTGAACTGCCAGTGTTGGCCTTGTACGCAAAAGCACAGGAATCATCTGTGACCATTGAAAATGGGCACATGTAAGTATGCCTTGGTGAGGTCGACTGACATCAGGAGCAATCCCGGTTGGAGGGCCTCTGCAATGGCACGAAGAGTTTCCATGCAAAATTGTTATGAATTTGTTTAGAAATTTTAAGTCCAGAATGGCCCTCTGACGTCCGTTTTTCTTTGGAACAGTGAAAAAGATTGAGTAGACTCCTTGTTCTCTCTCTGAGAGAGGAACCGGTTCTATGGCCAGGATGCTGGATAGATGTTGGATGGCATCCAGGGTTTTGTGTAATTTGACTGGGTCTTTTATTGTTGGTGAGGGGACACAGCGGTCTGGGGGTCTGCTCAGGAATTCGATGGAGTAGCCTTTGAAAGTGACCTCACAGGACTAGTTGTCCGCGTTTGAGTTGACGCATTCCTGATGGAACAAAAGCAGACATCCCCCCACACACACACCGGGGCTGAAGCGTAGTCATGCTTTGGGAGCTTTGTTGTCTCTTCCAGACTTGTCGTCTTTGGGGGAGAAGGGTTTGCCTGATCTGTTGTGAAAAGGATTTCTCCTGAAGTTTTATCTGGATGTCCCCCATGAAGAGCGTTTGTTGTCTTGGTTAAACCTGGTTGGAGGCCTTTGTCCACGAAAGGAGAAGTTACCTGAACCTCGCCTATCTGGTCTTCCCAACGAACTTGGCATCACCTTTTTCTTACCCTTTGTCTCAATGAGGATCTTGTCTAAGGACTCTCCAAATAAGCGGTCGCCCTGAAAAGGGTATGCCGTGACTATGGCTTTAGCGTGTAAGTCGGTCTGCCACGCCCATAGCCAAAGGGTTCTTCTGGCAGCTACCGTGGAAGCCAGTGACCTTGAAGAGAAGATCATGGTGTCCAAGGTGGCGTCTGTCAAGAAGGAAGAGGCCTGGAGGAGTCTGTTTGCTCCCTCAGCCAGATGTCTGTTGGAATTGGAAATGAGTTGGACAAGCTTCTTGGACCAGGCTATGGATGCTCCCGCTACCACGACAGCAGTGGCTGAAGCTTTGATGGCTGTGGCCTCATGGGCCTTGCGTAGTGCGAATTCTGCTTTTCTGTCCAGGCTATCTCTCACCATGCCTTCTCTGTCTTCAGAGAATAGGCCTGAAGTTTGGGGTGCAGTTATTGGTGCATCCACTAGGGGGACCTGCAAAAACGTATCAGTAAAGTTAGGCAAGGCATACAGTTTCTTAATATTAAGAGGGCAGTGCTTATTAGCCATAGGCTTGGCCCATTCTTTCACCGACTGCTTTTATAAGAATTCAGGAAAGGGAAAAACTTTCTTGTCCCCAGGAGTCCTGAGGAAATATTCCTTGCTCCCTCTGGGTCTGGACCCATCTGCAGGATCAGAGCTGGTGGCGTCCTCTGCCTTGGGTTTGGGCATGAGTTCCAAGGCAGACAATGTCTTTTTAAGCAAGTATTGGTAGTCCTCAGGTTTAAAAAATCTCAGAGAGGGTTCTGGAACCTCCATTTCCTCTTCCTCCTCCTCATCTGAGAGAAATTCCCCTTCCTCCCTATCTCCCAGCTCACTGTCCTTAATCTGTGAAAGGTCCTACTGAGAGTAATCCCTCATAGCAGAAAAATGGTCTTTTCTGGCTGCCTTAGTTGGCCAGCAAGGCCTTTCCTCTGGGTAGTTTCTATCAGGTTCTCCCTGGGGATAATGACATGGGGAGATATGTGAGGAAAAATGTCCACTGTTCCCTGCAGGGGAGTCTGTGAAAATTAGCAATTTCCTCCCTCATGGCCTGCCTGAAAGCCTGCATTATATCTGGCGTCAGAAGCACGTTGCCGCCCCTTTCAGGGTTACTGATGAGTAGACCTGTTGGTAGCCTGATTTCGTCAGAGGCTGTCGCTGTCACAATCTGGGCGTTAGGAATGTCTGGGACGTCGTTGCTGTCCATTGTCTGGCTTATGGAAGCAGCAATAGCTGCCCCGCAGCCCTCCCGTTTCCCCAGGGGGACTCTGTTTTGCTGCCTGTTCCAAAATGGCGCCTGTGGCACGTTCCGTGGATGGGGAAGGAGGCCGCTTTTTCGCGCACTTTCCCTTTGGTGTGGTGAGGCTAGCAGCGGAGGAGGAGGTAGAAGCCACAGCCTTTACTTTGCCTGGCTTGGCTTGTGCAATCGTCAGGGCGTCTTCCCTCTCGTTTTCTGAGAGGAAGCCATCTGAATCTTCTCGATCCGACATGCTCCGCCCGGAGCGTCAGGTGAGGAGGAAGGCAGGGAAGAGAGGAAAAAGAGTGGGTGGGAGGCAGATGAGATTGAGTGGGGGAAAGGAGGTAGTGGAGGAGGAGGAAGAAATTCATAATTAAAGCGAAGAGTGAAGAGCAATAAGGTCGAAAAAATAGCCAAGAAAGGCACGAGTGCCAACTTCATGCTGCTCTCCCTACTGAGGTAGGATCAAAAACTGAGTTGAGGGGCGTGTCCCACCCAGAGGACAGGAAGTGAAGTTTGGTTCCTGCCTCCCTAAGGATAGGGTGGAAAACACCCATCAAGATGTCCTCCTCTCAGAGGGAGAACAAGAGGTGCAAACTGCTGCACCCTATACTACCTAAGCACAGATGTTTCAGTGTTAAAAGTCCCCACAGAGTAAGGCAAGGAGCAATCTACTGGCGAAAAACCCTCACTGTATACTTATTTCATGAAGTCAGCAACACTCAGTCAGTGCACCTTGGATTTGAGTGTTGAAGCTGAACATGTCAACAGACTGTCTGGCCAGGAATTATCATTCCCTAATGCTACAGATTATATTACATAAAATTTCAGAGAGTAAAACTTTGCCTTAAAAAGTATTTCACTCATTCCAAAAGAGAAAATACAGATAATGCTACAGATAAAACTCACATAAAATTTCAGAGAGTAAAGCTTTGCCTTAAAAAGTATTTCACTCATTCCAAAAGAGAAAGTATTTCATAGGAGAAAAGTTCATTTTGTATTTCAATTATTTTCTCCACCCCACCAACCCCAGGCCTTTACGGTTCTAGTTCTAATGGTCCTTTGGTGCAATGATCTGGGTGCTCTGTGAGGTTTTCAATTTATAGAGCTTTTTCCTCAGTGATGATAAAGATTATTTATGTGCAAGCTGTGTGATTCTGTGATTCAAGCGTTTAAGAATAGCTAGGTCTAAATCTATACTGACAACCAAGTTCTATGAAGGGAAAGCAAGATAAGATGGAATATTCTTGGCTACTGGCCTTCAGCTGCTGTCTGTAGGGAGCTGGAGGATGGGGAGGCCCGGGGGACAAAGGCATGCAGGGCATGGTTTATTAAGACTTCTAATCAACTGCCTCTTTGAGTAGTTAAAGAGTATCAACTCTGTTGCCTCATGCAGAGAAACTGAGCTTCACTGTTCCTTTTTATGTTATTTACCTAGACCCCTGTTGGCTGTTTTTCAGTCATATAAGAACTTCTCAAAGCTTCTCAAAGCATAAAGACTAGGTCCACAAAGAAGACTACTGGTAACTAGCACCAAGGCAGCAGAAACCAGTCAGCTGGTTGTATCACCAAGTAGGAGATCCAGTGGCTCTCCACTCAGCCTCCTTCTATAGCAAAATGGTTCCCAGTCTCCCAATGAAACAGAATGGAAAACCAGTTTGCAGCAGATTCAGTTTGCCACAACTGTAGAAGCCATACCCCATTCTGCTAAAATGATTATGGGACTCGGCCGTACCAAGAAACTGAAAGCGCACAAACCACACATTGTTAGAACAGTAAACAATAAAATATCAGAACAAATCAGCAGGCTGTGGCATTCAGATTCTGCACTGAATTGAAGGACTGATCAATGTGACATAATCAGAGAAGCAGTGCAAAAGGGCGTTACCTCTTTCACAGCCAAGCGCAGCTGCTGCAGTACACTCTCTTGCCTCATAGCTTCCACTCTCAGTGCCTGGCCTGTGCCCTCCTCTTGAGCAATCTGTTCCTCCAGGTCCTGGTATATCATGGAGACACTAGTTCAGATTATTGCACAGGTGGTGCTGCAACATACAAAACAAACATCTGATCTGCCAACAAAGACCATTCACCTTCACTTGTGAGGACAACTGATCCATTTTCTTCTTTTGATTGTCCACAATCTGAAATCAAGTGAGATACATGAAAAATGCATTCACTGCCATCATCCAGATGTACACTTGTCTTAAAAAATTAAAATGCTTGAATTACAAAGACCACATGCACATTTTTTTCAGTCATGGCTATGATATAGTGCTAAAGTCTAGAGAAATGGTGTGACAGCTCTCTCTTTCACACACTGTCCTTGGGGACTCCTCAGAAATTATTATTTCCTTGGAACCTGATTGGCCACAAGAATGCAGAACTTGCATACTTGTGGGATCTGCTCAGGTGCAGAGCATGGAGATGTGCATGGTTGAGAGATTTCAGCTATGATGCTTAGAGCAGAGCAGGGAAAGAAAGATACTGGAGAGCAACAGTCCCATTACATCCGCCAATTTCACTCATTGTAGAGCTACCTTCCTGAGGAGATCACATTCTTTTTGCAGAGAATCCTTCTCTCGTTTTCTTTTCTCTATCTCCTGGGCATATCCTTCTGCTGATGACGTCTTCCCGCACTGCATTTTATCTTGTAAACTGAGAAAACAGGGTAAAGCTGCTAAGCTGAGTGACCTCAGTAAGCTCACCCTTTGAGGGTGAGTTCTGTCATAGTCATTCCCAAAAACAACAATCCTCCCAGAATGACAAAAAAATCCTTCTTCAGTCCAAAAGCACACAAGAAACAGAAACCATTACTGCATGTTTAACTGAGTGACTCATGTTATTTTATAAAATGAGAGAAGAGCTAGGCCTTTTTTGCTAGCTCTGCCTCATCCGTCTTCCATTGTCAAGGACCACTGTGGCGTCCTCTTATTTGGGGAGGACTGGTTTTCACTTTAAATTATACTTTGTGTTCACAAACAGGGTAGTTTCTGCTGCCACCAGGAATTTAAACAAATTCCAAATCTTCTCTCATTAGCTGTTGTTGGTAATGTGACCCAGGGTCTGGGCTTTTCAAAGGTCTATGTGGCCCTGAGGAAGGACTGAACTGAATTCTGGGTTAAACTTAAACAAAATATGATTTATTGATTTAGGAACAAAAACGAGTTGCTAGTTAACTGTAACTGTTTTGGGAAAGAGAAACTGGTAAAATAAACTGGCAAGGTATCACACACAGTCCTTTGATCACAAGATCCCTCTCTGCCAGGAATCACTCTTTCACTGGGTAGCCACACTGGCAAAGCTCTTTGTATTAATTCTCTGTATAACTTTGGAGTCATATCTCTTCAACACTTAAACTTGTAAAGACATATATTTTGAATTATTTAAATCTCCACATAGGACTGAGTCATCTCACTCTCTTCTCAGACTCACTAACTGACTGAATCACTCCAACTGATTTCTCTAACTGACTTTCATAACTCTCCAAGACACACATAGTTATTCATTTCAAAAACTCTTCCCACACTCTCTCATCCTCCAATAACACCACACTTGTCTCCTTCAATCACTCTACTCTGCTATCACTGCACTCCAACCAAACATTTAAGGAGACACACACATTCTTAAAACAAGGAATCATCACAACCACCCTGCTTTAGTGTGGGAAGATGAAATCTCACTGGAGGAGGAGGAGGAGGACAACCCTGCCATGGCAGACACTCCCTGTGAGTCTGGTGTCTCAGAGCCTCCCCAAAGGGACCCTGAGTTAGCACCAGGGTCACCCTCTGAGCCAACAGGACCCTCAAGCCAGGAGGTTCCAGCATGGAGCTGCCCACTGCCAGACCCACCATGATCTCCTGAAAGACTCCAGGAGCACAGAAGGTAAAGAGCAAGGGCCGAGGCTTGGACTAGGTGCAGGACTGCATGCTGAGGGAATGACAGGCAAAACAAATAAATTGTTGCAGGATCTGGCCCCCACTACTTGTCATGAGTAAAGGAGCTGACTCAGCTTGTGGAGAGGAGCTTAATGTGGGAGGAACCCCACCTGTAGGGAAACGCTCTATATCAGGCTGCAGTGAGCCTATAGCCAGCATGGGATCAATGTGTTTGCAGTCTTGCTATTCGCCGGACTCATTCAAGATCAATTTGTGCGACTTGGTCTGCTTTTGGATCCTGCCTTTGGAACATGTGCCTGGACCTTGGACTCCTTTCTGACCTTGTATTTGGATTATGTTATCTGAGCCTGGACTTTGATGTTGGACTGATGTTGGACTGTGACCTGTGAACCCCTGCTGATTGCTGAGAACCCCTCTGGTTGCTGAGACTTGCCTCCTACCTGCTGGCCAGGACCTCCAGTGCAGGAAAAGTTCCACAGTATGATTAGAGCCTTCAAGGTAACTTCCAATGTGAAATTCTACAAAAAGACTCCACTTAGGACAAAACTAAAGCTAACAGCAACAGATGTGCTTCCTATTTTAAAAGAGCGGTACATGGAATTGAAATACATAACCCTTCCCCTGCCTGTCACTTACTACCTGGCAGCTCCTTTCCCCATTTGCTTTTCTTCCATCAAAGCCCAGATAAGGCAGGAAGGCAAAGCCCAGGAAGGCAAAGGCTAGTACCCCATGCATTCTTCTGCTATTAAGATTAGACACCTGTCCACTTGGAACTTAGAAACGGTACAGGTTTAAACACATGGATCCATTGCTGTTGCATCTAGCTTAGTCTCCTCAAACTCTGTATCATGAGCTCCTCTGGTTCCCAAGCTAGAATGTTCACCATTTTACTAGCTTGGAAGTCAAAGCTTTAAAGGTAACACATCAGTAAAGCTATACAAACTTACCAGTAGAGTCAATATTTTGGCTAATATCTATGCCAGTGCTAATCACTCTGCAGTTCATAAAGACCCACATTCACAACTTCCATCAACCAAAAGCACTACATCTACATCCATCCTGGCATGAGGTTACTGTTCCTCTGGCAGCTATTTCAAGGTGCTAACAACCTGCCAACCACAAGCCCTACTGGGAGTGGCTTTGCCAACTCTCTTGAAATACAGGGTACATGCCACACTGAGGATTGGTGCTTTAGAGCAGGGGCATCGAACTCATTTGTTATGAGGGCCGGATCTGACATAAATGCGACCTTGTTGGGCCAGGCCATGTGTGTCATAAAATGTGATGCCAGGTAGAAAAGATATAAACTTTATAAAGGACACAAACACAAAGATTTCTTTTACTTAAAATAAAAACATGCTTAAAACATTAGCTCTGTAAGCTGCAAACCTACTTTTGATTTATTGACATTCACCACAGAAATCTCATGCTCAGAGTTCTGAGTCTAGGACCCAGGTTAAAACATGAAATGGCTGAGTGATTAAGAGAGTCTGGCGAAGCAAGCTATGATGCAGCAGCAGCAGCAGAACTGGAAGCAGGAGATGGCCAGTTCCACTGTGGGCCTGATAGAAGCCCTCCGGGGGCCTGATCCGGCCCCCAGGCCACATGTTTGACACCCCTGCCTTAGAGGCCATTGGTTGGGAGACATACCAAGCCATCTTTTGCTTATCTCTCTTTCTACTATCAGCATGATCCTAACCCTGAATTCTATTCTTTCCCCCTCCCTACGGCCTTCTGTGAGGTTACTGACTCCCCTACCAATCACTTTTCTCCACCTCTCTCTTCTTCCCTGGCACCTGTACCCTCTTGCTATCTCTGAACACACAAAGGTGCCTCCTACCAAGTCAGATCACTGGTCTACTGAAGTCAATATTGCCTACTCTGAGTAGCAGTGCTGTCCAGGGTCTCAGGCAGAGATCTTTCCCATCAGCTACTTCCTGATTGTTTTAAATAGATGCTGGGGATTGAACCTGGAGCCTTCTGCATGCCAAGCAGATGTTCTGCCACTGAGCCACAGCCTCCCTCCAACATACATGCTGCCTGTGGTAAGGCTTCACTGCTAAAAGCACAATACAATGGAAGATCTCTAAATGGCGCTGCAAGGCAGTATTCCTTCATTTCACTCTGCCTCTCATCTCCTGGCCCCAAGGAATGTTACCTGTGCACAGTGGAAAGCAGTTCCATCTCTTTGTGTTTCTGCATTTCTAGCTGCAGCTCCTTCTCTCTGCAACTGGCACGAACACCCACAAGTTCCTTCTCGAGGGCAGTCACGGTTTCCTGCAAGACTGCAACTTTCTGCTGAGATTCCTTTAACTAGGAAGAGGAGAGAGAGAACTCCAAAACCAACCAGGGTATGATGGGAGGCCACATGATACAACAATATTGCAGAAGCTGCTGTGTCTACCTGAAGAATTGCAAACAACCTAGATCACAAAGTTTTCATGCCAGCCAAATGTCAATCCAGTTAGCCACACCCATCTACAGTTATGCTGGAAGAGCTTCCTTGGATTCCACTATACCTGTTGACTTTGTTTCTGGTGATCCTCCAACACAGGAAGGTCGGCAAGGTAACGCTCCAAGGTCTCTATTCGCTGCTGTTTCTCCCGATTCTGCTCAGATTCTTTTTGGCATTTCTTCTTAAGATGCTCAATGTGTTTGTCTCTTGCCTTTACCTGCACCAACAAAACAGCATGATAGTGGTCCTCCCAACACAGAAGCACACAAATCAAATCAGGTTCAAATTCCCAAAGTGCGAGTGGCCACCTCTGTTCTTAACTTCCTTCAACAGCAAGTGAAGTATATATTTGGGCCTTCATTCGAGCACAGCACTCCAAGACAGAATGAAGACCATCAATAAGCACTTTAATCATACTCCAAGCTTGAGGGTGCAAACCACATCAAGCTAAGTCCAAATCCACTCCTTTTGAGATGTGGCAATAAGGACTGTTGCGCTTATCACATCCAGAACAAATGGCCAGCTTTATGTTGAGAAGTAATGAGTTTTAACAGGGAGGCCCTAAAGCAACCGTTTTCAATAGTTTTGATGCTCTCTGTTTCCCTTCCTGATTCCCCCAATTTCCCACACAGAAGCCATTCTCATTTCCCAGACCAACAGTTCATGACATGTCAGCATGTGGCTTTATGGCTCCTGTAGGTACAGAGGCCAAAGCACCAAGTATAATACAAAATGAAGTGCCCAAAGCAGCTACCCCCTACTTCACACTCAACAGAGCTTGTTAATCTGCTGGGGGCAAATGCAGGCAGCCTCTGAGTAATGTTGCAGTTTCTTATTACCCTGAATTAAAACACTGTGTTTACCCTCCATGTGTGTAAAGGTTCGCAAAAGGGCATTTTCCTTCCTTCAGCAAGGATCTTAAATAGAAACCAGAAGAGTCTTCTAGCATGGTTAGCTTATACAGCCTACCCTCTCTTCTTGCTTCTTCAGCTCTGCTGTATACTTCTGTACGGTCTCCCTGTGAGACTCCTGGATCTGCTTTTCACCTGCTTCTGAAGTGGCCAGTTTCCTCTCCAGTTCAATCTTTTCCTTACTCAGTGATTCTGTCTTTTCAGTAAACTGTGCACGCAAGAATACATTCTCCCGCTGCAACTCCTGCAAAAAGCATATATTGAAACACAATAGCTCACAAGTGTCCCCACCTCCAGAAAATACTGCCCCATAGAAGCAGCCACATTGCTGTGCCCCAGCAGAGCAAGAAAAGTGGACATGACTCACAGAGTTTTTGTTTACGTTTACCTGCATTCTAAGCAAGTAGATGTCTCCATAAGGGGCAGGAGGGCCAAAGAGAGCACTGTGGACCTGCAGCTCACTTTCTCGTACCTTCTGCTCCAGATGTGAAATGTGCTGCCTCTGCCTTCAAAACAGAAAGGCCCCCCAACATAACATTTACGAAACGTAGACTCTGATATATCTATACTGATAGAATATCAGAAAACAGGATAGAAAGTTGCCTTTAGCAAAGGGCTTTCAATAGAGCACTTTAAATTGTGTTTATAATCTAAAAATGGGAATCTAGGTTGGTGGATGGGAATAATGGAAGGTGACTTGAAAAAACGGATCTTTTTTTGCTTCCTTCCCCATTGATTTATCTACCTACCTACCTAGGAGACAAATAACTAATTCTAAAAGCAAAAACTGCACTATACCAAGTCAGGTGACAGCCAGACTAGGTGTTCACAAACCCAGGGTATACAGAATAGGCCAAACAGCTCCCCATTTATGTACTTTCTGGACTTGACTAAGGAGGAAGCACCCCTTTTTGAAAAGGAAAATGGTTTCCTCCCCCATTCTGTACCTAAGGAAATTACCAGGCACCTGTCATTTGCCCTAGCTGGTCAATGATTTAGTGAAAATAATTCTGTGTTCTTAGGAAGAAACATTTTTCCAAATATGAAATGGAAAGGGCTATCTTGGTCATGGCACCAAACATTGGAAATCCCTCCTCAGGGAGATTCCCGTCTCCCCCTATTGGTGTCTACCATCAGCAGGTGATGACTTTTTTTGTTTCATCTGGCATGCCCTCAGTAATGGTTATTGACCCTCCTCCCTGGTTCTGATGTTGTATGTTTACTTGTTTTTATTGAATTATTTTATAATTTTAAAAATTGTTCAACTATTTTAATGTTTTCATGTTCATCACCTTGGGGACCCTGATCAGGTGGAAAGATGGCATAAATAAGTAAATCCAAAGGGATACATTGTAGGCTTCCGTCTCCTACCTGTCAATGAGCATTTCCTTCTCCCTGAGTAGATTCTCATTTGTATTCACAATACCAACCAACTGGGTCGGATCAAGAGAGTGCACTGAAGTGCTGTTCACCAGAGGATGGTGGTGAGCAGCTTTATTTTGCAGCTGGAATCACAAAATTCAGACAGACAAGGCATGAGGTTCAGATCGCTAAGGCAGTTGCAGTATCACTGCTATTTCGTACTCAGCATTGTTCTAAGCCTACCGATTTCCAGAAGACTCATCCCATATACAGCTATTTCAGATTCACATCCAAGCACTCAGTGTACTACTTAGAAAAAGTAGGGAATGATTTTAGATCAGTGTGTCACACGAAACTCATGAGAACCTTTGCTTGATATCACTGAACAAAAATTGTTTCCTACTATAAAGGGTGTGTAGATCTTATGGCAAGATGATTTTAAAAAAATAAAGAAAATGAGTCACACTATGCAGTTACTCCAGTCTACATCAGTTGAATTCGCTGAGTATAGACTAGAATAACTCTGTATAGTAGTACTGTGACATCCTGCTTATTGGGGAGACTGTTTCTCCTTTAAAACTCACTGTGTACATGAACTTAGTAAATTTCTGCTGCCACCAGGAATTAAAAAATCCAAATCTCTCTATTTTGGTAGAATGACCCAGTGTCTGGGTGCTTCAGAGGACTATGTGGCCCTGAGGAAGGACTGTGCTGACTGCCGGGATAAGTTTAAACAAATAATGATTTATTTATAAAAGAACAAAATAGGTTTCTGGGTATTTTTTGAACTGTTGTTGAAGAAAGAAAATATAACTGACAAGGATTGGTGTCACACACAGTCTTTCATACTGTATCTAATTCTGAACTTGGTCCCACTATGCAGATCAAGTAAGGAGCACGATGGGGCACGGCATAGAAGAAATATTTCTGCAGATTTGGCAGCCCTCCCCATGCCAAAGTGTAGTTTGTGTACAGGTGTACACACCATAACTTTTTTTAAAAAGAAACTAAGATGTCACAAGATCATGGCTGCTGCTATACCATACATAAGGCTTTTTTTTTTTTTTAGGGCAGGGGAGAAGTAGAAAGCAGCAATGGGTGGAGAGAAAACTCACAAGACCTCTTCTTGTCTGCCTAGTCTCCCTTGCTGCCCATAATGCCTGGAATCTAAATATCTGTAACCGTAGCATTGTGCACTTCCTCCTGATCTCCCCTCAAATCCCTGTGAAGTGTTATATACATAGATAGCACTCTCATCCTCCTCACTAAGCATTAATAGAAGCAACATGCTAAGAGTGAACAGGTGCAAAAAAATACAACAGTTTAAGCAATGACAACCATATGCACATTTCCATTTTTATCATGCAGAAGGGTTCAGGGCAGGCAACTGCTTAATGGAAAAAGAACTGCAATTAAAAATAGGACACCCTAGTTATACACAATATATTTAAGACAACTAAAAATCAAAACCAAAAGCAACTATGGATAATAGAAGTCTTATTCTGATGTAAGCAGCTATTTATATATAGGTAAGATTTAGCTAACATAGACGGTTTTAACAGGGCTTTCTACCTGCATCTGATCTAGCTGCAGTCGAACCCGGTCCAGATGCTGTTTCCAGGCACTGAATGCACAGTTCTCATGTGAATGTAGTGTACAAGTTTGCTGTGTCCACACTTGAGACTGAGCAGCTGTGAAATTGGAATATGTAATAGCAGGATTAAGCCCCAAGGAGAGCTGCTTTTCACAGATTTTGCTGGCCTCAGTTGTAGGCTTAGAATCAAGCTGCACTCTAGGTGGCTCTTTTTCTAGGTCAGCATTGCAAATTTGGAGCTGGGTCCAAGGACCATCAGACTGCCTTTCCATTACTGCAGAATGGTTAAAAGTACGTTCAGCAGCAAACCTGCCAGATTTCTCAGCATCTTCTGTCCTTGCTTGGTCAGATGAAGGGAACAAGGATCTATCAAAACCATTTTCCAGTGAAGCCTGGTACACAGGAAGATGGCCCCTGGGAAACGCCTGGGAGTGCCTCGAAACGTTACAGTTTGTCACCAGCCCTGCCATGTCTCCTGAAGGGCCAGGCAGGAAGGAAGTCAGGCCAGCCAGAGATGTTCTTGATTCACCCACAATACAGGGCTTGCAGGGAGGGCTCTCCAGCATGGAAGGCATGACATGAGCTGTAGGAATGGCCACATGGGTTTTGATGGGCTGAAAGGAAGAACTGTCACTGGAATTGCAGAATGCTGTGGAAAGAAAGACAGAGGAATGTTACAATCAGGATTGCTTTCTTTCTGCACAAGCCTGCCTTTTGCTGTGACTCTTCTGTACATTTGGTGAACTGGAAGACTTGCATGTCCTAGCAGTACTTTCAAAAAGAAGGAAAGGCCATGTGCCAACAAAGCTTTCTGTCCCCTAACATGCAAAGTATTTTCTGATAACAACTGAATTCAGACACACATCCAGATTATCTTCATTTGATCAAAATCAGATCACATAACAAAGTGTATCTTTCTAGTTGTTCATATACAAGTCTTGAAGTTGACTTTAGAAAATAAATACTGAGACTTACTCAAGAACCAGGAGTTGAGCTCTTGGTTACATTTCCAGTTCTGAGCCCTGCAATTCACTTGCTGCCAGATTTGTAAGTAAAGTTGGATGCAGCCCCAAGAAGCAAAAGAATGGAAAGCTTCCTAGGAAAATGGAACAATTGCTGTCCTGTTTGGCATTAAACTTCCTCCAAAATCAGCTTCAGGTCTCTCCCAACAAGCATACGGAATACAGCAGAGCAGAATACTGAAAATCCTGACGCTGAAACACCAGATCAGACTAGATGAAGTGTGAAGTTATTCTTAGCAACTCTCAGATTTCAATACAAAAAAACAACAACAGCTTAACCAAGCAGTAGGACACCTTATTTTCTATCAATTTTCCTTCCTTTCCAGAAAACTTGTCATGACTACATGAATTTTTGCTTCTTGTGCAAGATAAAGACAGTAGAAAATCAATTTAAAGTCTGGGGTATCACTTTTATTTTAGGGCAATGAGCTCATACCAACACGTCAGTTATACCCATTTGCCAGTATGAGAAGGAACACAGGACTCAAATTTGTCCATCACAGGAATGAGGCTACTACATATACCTAGTCCAAGTCTCTCTAGACAAGATACCAACATATGGTAAAGATAGTCAAAGAGCCAGTGAACCTAAAACTCCTTCAAGAACATATAATTTATATGTGGCGGCACTGTTAAGTTTCATGAGCAAGTTACACGAAGAGGTAAAGGGCCTTTCCTGTACGGGTAAGAAATAAGAGACTTGGCATAGCTGTATCTAGAACAGAGCTGTAATACAGTGGCAGAGTGCACATCTCGATGGGTGAGGCTCCACCTCAGGTTCCTAGCATTTCTAATTATTATGATAGAACAGCTAGGAAAGACCTGATACATTCTGGAGAACCAAAAAAGACACACCAAAACACAGCATTCTGCCCTTTAATTAAAACCACTGGGACATGCCCAGAGAATATGTGCACTGGAAAGAACACACCTCAACCAGGTATGAACCTTACTACTCCACTTGGAGCTCGACAGAATTAAAGAGTGGCAATAAAGGGCAGCTTCACACAGTGTTTTTGCTACCAGTGTAAGCATATTGCAGTAGCTCTATAGGGAAAACATATGCAGAACAGATCTATACTCTACACTGAAATGGCATGTCCAGTTCCTTGACATGCAAAAGAGTTACTCCAAGGATGATTTTTCTACTGTCAATTACTCAACAGCCAACTAGACACTGAACAACATCAAGAGGGAACTTAAGTTCAGTTAAAATAAACCTCAAGGACCGTATGTAAAAAGAATTAGTTGATCACTAGCTGGGAAACCGAAAGCTTAGAAAATGGAAGATACAGTTTACAGTGCAATCCTATGCAGAATTATTCCAATAACTACTCCAGAGTTATTCACTGAAATAATTGGAGTCAGAGTAGCACAACTCTGAATAAAGTTGTGCTGTAAGACATCCACAGTCTTTCTGGTTCTATGTAGGAAGACAGCAACATGACTGTCAACTGTAACAAAGGATCTAAATAGGATGGAGTCAAAACGAAACGTACCTTCTGCACTGTTAGAGCTAGAGGTTCCATTTAGTGTGCTTGCACAGGTAGCCATCGTTAAATTACAACCAGAACGTCTCCAGATTTTCAGACGGGGCATTCAAGATTATCTCTAGAGAATCTTCTGGACTGAACTGGAATGGGGGAGAGGGGAGACATGTTATACAATTTACATGGGAATTCATGAGCTATATGATGAAATGCAGGTTCTCCTGGAAGGCTGGCAAGTGACAAACCTCCACATGGCATTTTAAAAGTTTTTCTTTTCTTTTCTCTGGGAAGCAGAAAGTCCATCAATGGCTTTCCAGCTTACTTGTATACATATGCTAATAGCTTTAGCTAAAGAAAATGGAGTAGGTCTACCCTCCCCACATCTCCAGGCAGGGAACAGAGTTGGAGGACTTTAGGCTAGAACAGCCACACGGATGCTCTCTAGGAAGAGGCTGGAGGAAACACATCTCTGACCTGGCCTGATCGGGTCAAGTGGGAGGAGGAAACAGAGGTGATAAAACTTCCTTGCCACAGGAAGTAGCTCTCTTTCTTTGTGATGCTTAGGCGATGAGAGGTCACAGGACCCTTAACTCCTGAGGCAGCCACTGACCATATCGTCAGCCTAGGGGGCTGAAGGACACTTTAAGGTAATGGTAACTCTTTAGAGATCTAGAATTTCCTAAGCTAGAACAGCCTGTCCTATTTTAACATCTTATAGGGCGTGTACAGAGAGAGGGACAGCAGATTTGCATTTTTGTCCCAATTTCTTTTGAATTCTGGTGCTGTGCTAAAAGTATGCTTGTAAACATTTTCTTTTTAATAAATACTTATTAACTTTTGATGCTGGAAGTGGTTCTATGTAGCACATAGACCTTCACCGTCTCTAACACGCTATTTTAAGAGTATTACCAGGGGAAGGCACTGGGTAGCAGGAGACACAGAGGCAAGGCCTCAGAACAGAGAAGGGGGGCTGGGAGTCCTGCCCCTCCCAGCAGGAAATTCCTTAAAAAGGGCAGGTGGTGGTGGCACATTACCCTAGAGAGAAGAAAAACCCCTCCAAGGAGTTGGGAATCCCTAGGAGGATAGGGTGGAAACGAGGCCTGCAGGCCGGAGCAGGCATGTTCTGCCACAAGCTAATTCGATACTATCAAACCAGGGCTCAGTAGAGACTAGGAGTACTTCAACTCACAACAGAAATTATTAGTCCCTCTAGTCATCTTACTTTACCAATTTGCCAGCAGTTCAGTGTCATACACACCTACCCTGGTTGGACTATTTGCTCTGGATCTTGTTTTCATTTGTGCCCTGCAGTGCAATATGCCTATATTTTGGAATGCCAGACCTTCTAGACTCTGTTCATAATAACTTGTCTACCCTGACCCTCAGCAGAGGTTGTGCGCACACATAAGAATGCTAATGCATGCATGTGATGTGTATCTACAAATATAATCTTTCATGCAACTTTTTCTTTACTTTTTATTACGTTTAAAATAATGTTTCATGCATCTTGATACAATTCCTGTTTCCTGCCCTTGACAGTAAGCCCTGCTGTTGTGTTTTGGGCCAGCAGAGGTTTACAAAGGCTGCCCCACATAAAGCACATTACAGTAATCTAACCTGGATAGGGTAAGTCCATGAATCAATGCGGCCACATCATGTTTTTTAAGGAATGGCTGTAGCTGGTAGAGCAGTCAAAGCTAGTAAAATGTGCTATATGCCATAGAGAATACCTGCACCTTCAACCATAGGCCAGGATCCAGCAGCACTTCAAGCTACGAACCTTCTCCTTTAAATAGAGTGCAACTCCCTTCAGGACAGGCTGACTCCTCAGTCGTGGCCCTCTTCTCTGGTTCCCATGTTGCTTATGTGTTTTTATTAAGAGAAGGGTGCAAGCTGCTGTGGGTCACCGCTGGGGAGAAATGAAGTAAATAAATAAAAACTGAAAGGTAGCAAAGCATCCAGATCAGTTTTTGCAAAAAGTTGGAAACTGTTCCTTGACTTTCAGAAGCGAACATTTTATATAGGCACTGATCTTTCTCTAATACAGTATTAGTACATCTGAGGTGATTGATCATGGAATTCATTTTCTATTCGTGTGCCATATTGTGTATAAAAATCACACACATAAAGACAAAACTGGAAACTTTCTGCTGTTACATTTCAAAGCCTTTTGGTGCCTGCATGCAGACAGGTGGGCCAAAAGGCTATGAACCGTACAAGACAGCCAAAACCAAGTTTCCCTTTTTTGTATTCATGTGTGTATAAACACAAATAAAGTACAAATATATAGGTTTAATTATTTAAGAACATAAGAACATAAGAACATAAGAGATGCCAATGTTGGATCAGGCCAAAGGCCCATCCAGTCCAACACTCTGTATCCCACAGTGGCCAGAAATACCAGTGCCATCAGGAGGTCCACCAGTGGGGCCAGGACATTAGAAGCCCTCCCACTGTTGACCCCCCCCAAGCACCAAGATGACAGAGCATCACTTGCCCCAGAGTCCCTATCTATACCTTGTGGCTAATAGCCACTGATGGACCTCTGCTCCATATGCTTATCTAATTCCCTTTTGAAGCCGTCCATGCTTGTAGCTGCCACCACTTCCTGTGGCAGTGAATTCCAAGTGTTAATCACTCTTTGGGTGAAGAAGTACTTCCTTTTATCCGTTCTAACCCGACCGCTCAGCAATTTCATGGAGTGCCCACGGGTTCTTGTATTGTGAGAAAGGGAGAAAAGTACCTCTTTCTCTACCTGCTCTTTCCCATGCATAATCTTATAAACCTCAATCATGTCACCCCTCAGTCGTCGTTTCTCCAAGCTAAAGAGCCCTAAGCGCCTTAACCGTTCCTCATAGGGAAAGTGTTCCAACCCTTTTATCATTCGAGTTGCTCTTTTCTGCACTTTTTCCAAAGCTATAATATCCTTTTTAAGGTGTGGTGACCAGAATTGCACACAGTATTCCAGATGAGGTCGCACCATTGATTTATATAGCGGCATTATGATATTGGCTGATCTGTTTACAATACCCTTCCTAATAATCCCCAGCATAGCATTGGCCTTCTTTATTGCAGTCACACACTGTCTCGACATTTTCAGTGAGTTATCTACTACAACTCCAAGATCTCTCTCTTGATCTGTCTCTGCCAGTTCAGACCCCATCAACGTGTATTTATAGTTAGGATTTTTGGCTCCAATGTGCATCACCTTGCACTTGGCCACATTGAACCCCATTTGCCATGTTGACGCCCACTCGCCCAACTTTGACAGATCCCTTTGGAGTGCCTCACAATCCTCACTGGTTTTCACCACCCTGAACAACTTCGTATCATCCGCAAATTTAGCCACTTCACTGCTTACTCCCAACTCCAAATCATTAATGAACAAGTTAAAAAGCAGTGGACCAAGTACTGATCCCTGTGGTACCCCACTGCTTACACCCCTCCACTGGGAGAACTGCCCATTTATACTCACTCTCTGTTTTCTATTAATTAGCCAGTTTTTGATCCATAAAAGGACTTGTCCTTTTATCCCATGATTTTTGAGCTTGCTTAGGAGCCTTTGATGAGGAACTTTATCAAAAGCTTTCTGGAAGTCAAGGTAAACAATATCTATTGGATCCCCCTTGTCCACATGTTTGTTCACCCCCTCAAAGAACATTAACAGGTTAGTGAGACAAGATCTTCCCTTACAGAACCCATGTTGAGTCTGCCTCAATAGGTTTTGTTCATCTATGTGCCTACTAATTCTTTCCTTAATAATGGTTTCCACCAATTTACCCGGTATCGACGTCAGACTGACAGGCCTGTAATTTCCCGGATCTCCTCTGGAACCCTTTTTAAAGATGGGAGTGACATTAGCTACCTTCCAGTCCTCAGGAATGGAGGCTGATTTTAAGGAGAGATTACATATTTTTGTCAGGAGATCCACAAGTTCACAATTGAGTTCTTTCAGAACTCTTGGATGTATGCCATCTGGGCCTGGTGATTTATCAGTTTTTAAGTTGTTTATCAGTTTTAGGACCTCCTCTCTCGTCACCTCAATCTGACTCAGGTCTTTCAACACCCCTCCTGAACTCAGCGGCTCTGGAGTGGGCAAGCAGCTCTCATCTTCCACAGTGAAGACGGAGGCAAAAAATGCATTTAGCTTCTCAGCCATTTCCCTATCATCCTTCAGTACTCCTTTTACCCCTTGGTCATCCAAGGGCCCCACTGCCTCCCTGGCTGGTTTCCTGTTTCTAATGTATTTGAAGAAAGTTTTATTGTTGGTCTTTACATTTTTTGCTATATGCTCCTCATATTCCCTTTTTGCATGCCTGACCACAGACTTGCATTTTATTTGCCATAGCCTGTGTTCTGTTTTATCAGCCTCACTGTGACTAGCTTTCCACCGCTTAAAGGAATCCTTTTTACCTTTTACAGCTTCCATTACTTTGTTTGTTAACCATGTAGGCTTTTTCTTATACCTGTTTGTGCCTTTCCTAACCTGCGGAATATATTTTATTTGAGCTTCTAGAATTGTAGTTTTAAACAGTTTCCAAGCTTCCCCAATGGTTTTGACCCTTTCTAATTTTCCCTTCAGTTTCCTCCCCACATGTCCCCTCATATCAGAAAAATTACCCCTTTTTTTTACTTACTTCATTTACACCCCATCTTTATCCCCGGTGGGGACCCAAAGCAAATTACATTGTTCTCCTCTACTCCAGTTTATGCTCACAACAACCCTGTGAGGTAGGCTAGGCTGAGAGGAATTGGCTCAAGTTCACGCATGGCGGGGGGGGGCATTCAAACCTGGTCTCCCAGATCCTCTGACCACTGCATCCCTAAATGAAGACCTGCATCTGACAGAGAGGCCACTCACTCAGGTCACAGATGCCCCTATTTAAGGCATCACAAGTCCCGTCTTTGTTTTCCATTCAATTAAGCGGCCCTTATCTTGTTTAAGGCTAAGCAGGGAAGGCTCAGAACAACTCCCTCCCCCCCACTCGAGCCTTAAGAGAGCAACGCGCGGGGTCTTTCAACCAAAGGCTGCGAAGGGGGCCACAAGCTAGAATGGGGGTTTTATCTTCCCCAACGCCGCCGAGACACCCAACCAGGGCCCCCCCCCCCCCCCCCCCGGTCCGCCACGAGTTTGTGTTGCGAAATTAACTCCGGGCCAGGGGAAGGGACAGCTGTGAGACCGATGAGAAGAGCAACATCTAGCCCCACAAGCGGCAAAAGGTTGGTTTACCTCGAGAAGTACGAACAGGGAGCCTCCAGACGAGAGCCCTTCAGCGTCACGGCCAGCCGAGTCAAGGCGGTTAAATCTCCAGAGCCAAAGAGCAGCCCCAACAGACCGTTGGGGGGGGGGGGGGGGGGAAAACCCCCCCCCCCCCCCACGGCCGGGGGGGGGGGGGGGGGAGGGAAAACCACGCCCCCTACTCCTGAGCCGCGTCTCGCGCCCCGGCTATTGGGCAGCAGGGGGAAGGCCTTTCTTCCGAAGTTCCTGCCACGCCCTCCGGCGCCTGTCATCGACTGGGACCGTTGGAAGGGCACGGAATAGCTGCGGCCAGCGGTTCTTCCTTTCCGGCAGTTCGGGGGGGGGGGCAGCGGGGGGCAGCGGATTCTTGTATGTGAGGGAAAGGGTCCTGCAGGAGGAGACATGAAAGGCCTTGCGAGGATGAAGTGGAAGAGGGGAGAGAAGGATGTCTTCAAAAGATAATAGGGAGATCTGATGCAAGCAGGACAGTGATTCAATCTGGCCATTCATAGTATTAGCACTTGCTACATAAAGGAGCTGCGGTGGCTCAAGTGGTTAAGGCGCTGAACTGCAGGCCGTGGAAGGTCAGTAGTTCAGCAGTTTGAGACCCTGGTGCCAGAGTGAGCTCCCCTCTCTAGTACCACTTCCGTGGGAAGGTAACAGCGTTCCGTGCGCCTTGGTGTTTAGTCATGCCAGCCACATGACCATGGAAACGTCTTCAGACAGCGCTGGCTCTTCGGCTTGGAAACGGAGATGAGCAGCGCAACCCTAGAGTCGGATTCAACTGGCTTTCGAGCAAGGGAACCTTTACCTTTACATAAAGTTCCAAATTAAATAACCTGCAGACCAAAAAAAGTAAAAGCCACATCCTCATGGATCCTCTAGTTTTTTAAAAAAACAGAATTCCTCCAAATCTAGCATCAAGTCACTTGTGAAAACTAGGTCCACAAACTGAACCATTAAAAAACCTCAGATCCAGCACTTTGTGATGCTACAATGGTGCAAAAAAATGGATCCCAGGCACGGATCCTCATGAATTCATCTTTTTTCTATACTGAAACAATATAAAACTGCCATCATATTGTTGATAATACCTTGAACTAAAGTCAGCACAATCAAACTCATGGATCCTCCACTCTGTGGCACCACCATGTTGCAAAAACATGGTTCCAAGGCACTGATCTTCATGGATCCTCATGACTATTATTGTGGGGTCACCCAAAACTTATCAAGTCACTCATCACATCTGTGGCCACAGAGTACACCATAGAAATCATGGATTCACTGTTTTGTGGCTCTACCAGGGCTCAAAAACATGGATTCAAGGCACAGATCATGATGGATCCTCGTGATTTTGATTGGGGGGGGTCACCCAAAACTCTCTTTTAAAGTATTCACATGATGGTATTTGACTCCCTGTAAGGTTGCAATATATTCACAAAGCATACTGTGTATGTGCAAAATCATAAGAACATAAAAACAGTCCTGCTGGATCACACCAGAGATCCATCCAGTCCAGCATCCTGTCACAAACAGTGACCAACCAGTTCCTCTGGAGGGCCAAGAGAAGAAGAAGAGATTGGTTTTATAGCCCACCCTTCACTACCCGAAGGAGTCTCAGAGCGGTTTACAATCTCCTTTCCCTTCCCCTCCCCACGACACCCTCATGAGAGAACAGCTCTGAAAGAACTTGTAACTGACCCAAGGTCACACCACCAGCTGCACGTGGAGGAGTGGGGAATCAAACCCGGTTTTCCTAGATTAGAGTCTGCGCTCCTAACCAGTACACCAAACGGGGCATAGAGGCCAAGGTCTTCCCCTAGTGTTGCCTCCTGGTTCTAGGATTCAGAAATTTGTCTTCTCTGCATGTGGAGGTTTCCTTTAGTCACCAGAGTTAGTAACCAGTGATAGGCCCATCTTCCATGAATCTGTCTAATCCCCCTTTTAAAACTGTCTATGTCTTTGGCCATCACTACATTCCACATTGTAATCACTCATAGTGTAAGGAAGTATTTCCTTTTGTCCATCCTGAATCTACAGCCCACCAGCTTCAGTGGATGCCCTCAAGTTCTAATATTTTGAGAGGGAGAAAAAGTTCTCTTTATCAGCTCTCTCCAACCCATGCATAACTTGTTAAACCTCTATCATGTCCTCCCTTAGTCATCTCTTGTCTAAACTGAAAATTCCCAGACCCTTTAGCCTTTTCTGATAGGAAAGGTGCTCCAACTCCCTAATCCTCTTGGTTGCCCTCTTCTGTACTTTTTCCAGCTCTGCAATGTCCTTTTTGAGATAGTGACCAGAACTGCACACAGTATTCCAAATGAGGCCGTGCCATAGATGTACCTTCTATCATACCTGGTGGCTCTGTGTCAAAGTTTACCATATTTGGCATCTAATTAAAGAACATTGCCCTCACCTGAATAGCGCAGGCTATCCCAGTCTTCTGGCCTCCTGCAGGCCGCAGCGCTCCGGCGCGGGCCCGAGGAAATAGCAGGAGACCCTCTTCTGGACTCCCATGGGCCGCAGCGCTCCGGCGCCAGCCCAGGGAGGTGGCAGGGGACCATCTTCTGGCCTCCCCGAGGCTGCAGCGCTCCGGTGCCAGGCTGAGAAACACGGTGGTGGCGGGGGGCGGGGCTTGGTCATGTGCCCGCCCCTGAGCTCCTCACTCTCTGAGCGCCGCTTCAGTGCACTCCGGGGTCAACCAACCCCTGCTCCTCACCTTCCTTCTCCCAGGGGGAGGGAGGGAACAGCCAGAGCTTGCTTCTTGGCCAGGCTGCAGGAGACAAAGTGAAGCCTTTATTTCCTTCGGCTGGCTGAGGCTCCTCCTGGGAGAGAGGGAACGAAGGAGAGGTTGCTTTGCTGGGCTGCCTCAATCACATGGGAGAAATACCAGACACCTTTAAGGCCAACAAATTTTTGTTCAAGGTATGAGCTTTTGTGTGCCTTACTACAGTGTGTGTGTATTCTGTTGAATTCCTTATGTTACATGTGTGTGTGTTTTGTTGGGCTCCTAATGCCAGGGCTTTCCTGGGTGCAACTGGGTTCCCTTCCCCTTTTCACTATATTCATGCCCTATTGATCCAGTCTTTCTCAGTAAGAAAGCAATGTGAACTATTTTAGAGGAAGAATAACAACAAGCCAGTAAGGTGGATTAGGCTGAGAGTGTGTATCCAGACAAAGTTCACCCAGCACATTTCCTTTGTAGGACGTTGTAGTTATTTCTCTGGGGAAGACTATAGTTTTGTAGACAAACAAACAGCCCTCAGTCTCTGTCAGGATGCCTTCTCATGTTCTTGACCAGCACATTAAGCAACTTATGTACAAAAGCCCCAGGTCCTAGGCTCAGAACACTGAGCATGAGATTTCTGTAATGAATGTCAATAAATCAAAAGTAGGTTTGCAGCTTACAGATACACACCTGAACAACATACTCAAGATTGCTACAGCACAGATATTTTAATACAATAATGTAGAGCAAGAGGTGTCAGTTATCAGAGACTGCTAAATAGACAAAATATTGCAAGAGTGCTAGTGTTTTAAAGATGTTTTATTTAAAGTTTAAAAAATCTTTCATTGTGTTTGTCTGTGTCTTTTATAAAGCTTATATCTCCGCTACCTGGCATTACATTTTATGAGACACATGGCCCAGCCTAACAAGGTCTCATTTATGTCAGATCTGGCCCTCAAAACAAATGAGTTTGACACCCCTGGCCTAACCCAATAAACAGGAAATAAATATGTTTACTGATTGCAACCCCCATTAAAAAAACCCCCAAAATGTGAAGAAATTCCAGCAGAATTTATGGAATCCAGAAAGTGGAAACATCAAAGACTGCAGATTTATGACAGAAGATGACTGTTGTAACTTATTAGCTGTACAGTTGTCCAAATCTGAATGAGCTACAGCAGTACCCAGAAGTCGTGGAAAGTGTAGCTAAAGTTGCTATTAAACTGCCGTCTGTAGGTAGGCCTTTAATGGCTGTTTGATCTTGGAGTAACTGTGTGTGAGTTAAGTGCTGTCAAGTCACTTTTAACTTATGGCAACCTTATGAATTAATGGTGTCCAAAATACCCTATTATTGATAGCCTTGCTCAGGTCTTGCAGACTGAAGGCTTCCTTTATTGAGTCAATCAATCACGTTAGGTCTTCCTCTTTTCCTCCTGCCTTAAACTTTTTAGAAGAAGAAGCTGGGTTCATGTGGAAGAGTGGGGAACCAAACTCAATTCTCCAGATTAGAGTCTGCCACTCTCTTAACCACCACACCACAGAATCAAGTGGTAACATACATCTCCATTGGTGTGAAAAGATTTACCAGCCAGTTCTTGTGTGTTAACGATAATGAAAACAACCGTGATGTTATATTATGAAAATATATTTAGACTACTATTCTATAGTGAATTGTATTTCTTCATCACATTATAAAAATATACGCATACACCCAATGGGAATTGCATAGAATACCGTTTCACATAGCAGCTTTTTCTAAGTGTGCTGCGTGAATACCATTAGTTTACATGATGTCAACAATTCTAATCTGTGAATTAACACACAACATTCTTCCCACTTCAATGAAACAGATTCTTTCAGTGCTCATAATATGTTAAGCTACTTTCAAAGGCATAAGTGCAAACCATGCCATTTTTTCCTCTAGCCAGTTGGCAACTTTAGACATAATGCATATTCTAACAAAGCATGCCAACATTTTGTTTCTGGCAGAAGACCTGTGTTGTGTTAATAGCTGCATAATAACCAAGAAAAGGCCAATGAAACCTTTCCTGGCACGGATATTCAATTAATCTTTGCCTACTGATTGTGAGCTATTGTACAATTTTTTACAGTCAACACAAAGAAAAAAGTTTGCTGTGCCCTTTTGGAAGCCATGGAGTGTCTGAACAAGGAAAATGGGTGGGAAACTAAGTGCCTGCAGTCTAGGTAGGTGGGGAGGTTAAGCACACATTGGGTCAAGAACAATTCCTGTATTTTAGATTTAATTGAGAGTCACCAGCCAACCAGTGACCCAGCCAATAAAACCATGTTCTGTCAAATAGCCAATATTAGGATCTGAAAATCCAGTAAAAATTGGCTTCACCCCTCACCCCCCTCCCCTTTCTGACATTGTTCTAATTCAACCCCTCTCATTCCTCTAGGCGTTGCCTGGCCCTGACTTAAGAACATAAGAGATGCCAATGTTGGATCAGGCCAAAGGCCCATCCAGTCCAACACTGTATCACACAGTGGCCAGAAATACCAGTGCCATCAGGAGGTCCACCAGTGGGGCCAGGACATTCAAAGCCCTCCCACTGTTGACCCCGCCCCAAGCACCAAGATGACAGAGCATCACTTGCCCCAGAGCCCCTATCTATACCTTGTGGCTAATAGCCACTGATGGACCTCTGCTCCATATGCCTATCTAATTCCCTTTTGAAGCCGTCCATGCTTGTAGCCGCTACCACTTCCTGCCTTGGCAGGACTTCCTTTGGCTCTGCCTGATACCCTCGTTTAGGGGAGGAATACCACTCAACAAATGATCAAGGACCCGCCAACTTATTTATTTATTTAGTATCCCGCCCTCCCCACTGAAGCAGGCTCAGGGCAGCTCACATAAAATTTCATTAAACAAATAATACAAAAAATTGGATAAAATGACATACATAAAGTGCTAGTGCATATCGCATGGCGATGGCAAGGCATCAGTACATTACAGTTGGCAGGCAACTCAGTCTGGGTCATATCGGCATATGAAGGCTATCAATGGTGGTATTCGTGTTGGGGCCAGGGCCTCAGTTGGGGCTAGGGCCTCAGTCGGTTACGTGTGGCTCACTGATCAAAGGCCTGGTGGAAGAGCTCCATCTTGCAGGCCCTGCGGAACTGTAAAAGGTCCTGCAGGGCCCTGATGTCTTCCCGGAGCTCATTCCACCAGTATGGAGCTGCCAGTGAGAAGGCCCTGGCCTTCGTTGAACCCAGCCTGGCTTCTTGGGGGCCTCGAAGGGGAACGTGTGGGGAAAGGCAGTCCCTTAAGTATGTAGGCCCCTGACCATAAAGGACTCTAAAGGTAAGAACTAGCACCTTGAAACCAATTCAGTACACTATAGGCAACCAGTGCAGTGCTTTTAGTGCAGGCTGGATGTGCTCCCGCATGGGAAGTCCCAGCAGCGGCCTGGCCGCCGCATTCTGCACCAGATGCAGCTTCCAAATTTGAGACAAAGGCAGCCCTATGTAGAGAGCATTACAATAATCCAATCTCAAGGTGACCATTGTCGCCAAGTCATTGTGTTCAAGGAAGGGAATCAACTTCACAGTAGCCACTACCTGGGCCTCCATTATTAGGGAGGCATCCAAGAGCACTCCCAAGCTCCCAAGCTCTGATGCTGGTACCAACAGCGCCCCATCGAAGGTTGTTAGTGGGATCCCTAGGCTTGGGCCTCTTCGACTTATGCACAGGACCTCTGTCTTCATCGGATTCAATTTCAGTCGGCTCAGTCTAAGCCACCCAGCCACAACTTGCAACGCCAGGTCCAGATCGTCTGAGCTAGAGTCAGACTGGCTGCCCAACAACAGATAGAGCTGAGTGTCATCTGCATATCGGTGACATCGCAGCCCATGCCCTCAGACAATCCGGGCAAGGGGGCACATGTAGATGTTAAATAACATTGGGGGAAGTACTGCTCCTTGGGGCACGCCACAATTTAGCGGGTGCCTTTGGGACAGCTGTTCCCCAGTGCCATCCTTTGTCCCTGACCCTGGAGGGACAAGGAAAGCCACTGCAAGGCAGACCCCTGAATCCCAGTGTCAGCGAGGCAGTGCATCAGTAGTTGGTGGTCAAACACCGCCAATAGGTCCACCAACAACAATGCCAAACCACCCCAATCCAGATGCCTCCGAAGGTCATCCGTGAGGGTGACCAGCGCCGTCTCTGTCCCATGGCCTAGTCGGAAACCAGACTGGAAGGGATCTAATGCAGAGGTGTCATCCAAAAAACCTAACTGAATCCCTGCCGTCCTCTCAATTAATTGCCCAGATAGGGCAAATTGGGGACCGGCCGATAATTAGCCAATTCGGCTGGGTCCAAGGATGTTTTTTTTAAAGAGGGGGCATACCACGGATCGCGCTACCACGGTTCTTTTTGCTCCGGCTCTAATTTGCCTCCCTTCAGCGGCGCAGTAACAATTGCATAATGACCTGGTGGAGTGGCTGTTTGCTGGATGAAGTTCTGGGGGCACAGGAACCAAAAGGGCAAGTAGGCCAAGCCAGAGCACTAGAAGAGGCGTCTCTATCTTGCTTCTCCTTCTGAGTAGTGAGTGGAATGCCACTAATGGAGGCAGTTCTAGAAGCCAAATGGCTGCTGATCACAGCTCATTAGTATATCTGTAGCCCATCAATACATGTTTCCCCAGTAGAACAAAATGCAGCTCCCCAGGGCCCTTTCAGAATGGGAAAATAGTTGGGTGGAGGCTTAAGCTACCCCTCCCATGCACTGTGGTCCCAAATTCCTGAGAAAGTTTAACAGGAAATCCCCAGCACATATCTCAACAGGACCTTGAGCAAACTTGCAGACAGTGAAACATATAAGTTTAGAAGTGGGTCCCCTTTAAACTGATGCATTAATAGAATATTTCTTTGGATTGTTTTTGTGTTTGCTATCATGTATGACACATAAACCATGCATGCAAACAGTGTGTCAAAGCCGTGAAATAAGCTACAAATCTCTAAAGAAAAACGGAGTGCTACATTGTCTAGGACCAGCTCTGAATATGGTCAGCAGCCAAACCTTGGAACATGCAACTAGATCCTAGATCTGCTTACTCCAAAGCAAGCCTCAGAGTTCAACAGGATTTAATCCCAAATAAGTACCAAAGCTTTACAGCGTAATCCTACACAGTTATAAGAAATTGCAAGTAGATAAATAGGTACCGCTTCGGTGGGAAGGTAACAGCGTTCCGTGCGCCTTGGCGTTTAGTCATGCTGGCCACATGACCACAGAAACGTCTTTGGACAGCGCTGGCTCTTCGGCTTGGAAACGGAGATGAGCACCGCAACCCCAGAGTCGGACTCGACTGGCTTTCAAGCAAGGGAAACTTTTACCTTTACCCTAAACATAAGTCAGTGTACATAGTACTGCAGCAGTTAGATTCCCCCATCACCTGAGCAGCCAGATTTGAGATACCACAGCTGCCAATCCAACTGGAGTCAAGGAGCATCCCGAAGACTACCAGAATTTTATTGCAGCAACAGTTTTGGGGCCAATTCATCAGCTGCATGGCAGTGTCCACCCATAGCTATGGCTCAAGCCTCTGGTGAAGTGAGCTCTGCCTGATGAAAGCTGAAGCTGCACTAAAATTCTAGTAGTCTTTAAGGTTGCCGCTGGACTTCTGTATTACAAATGTATGCTTAGATTATACACACACACCCCTCTTTTCCTCCTGCTCAGGTAGGCCTCCCCGCTCACCCCGCCCACTGGCTCGGCTCTACCCCCGCCCCACCTCCCTGGTTGCACCGGAAGCGGGGCGCCTGTTTCCAGGAGGTGACGTCATAGGGCGCTCCGCCCAGCCTCCCTCCCCCGGTGATGGAGGAAGAGGAGGCTGTGGGGGGGAAGATGAAGCAGTTCCCCGCAGCGGTCAGCATGGGTGTCGGGGGTGGTGCGGCTGGGGCGGGCGTGGACCCCGAGCGCTGCCGCTTCCCTTACTGCGTGGTGTGGACGCCTATTCCCGTGCTCACGTGAGTGCCCGCCCCCTTCCCGGGTCGAGGGTCGCCCCCGCTCTTGGGGAGAGGCAGGGAAGTGGCCCTTTGCCGGAGGTGGTCGATGGCTTTGCGTTGCATTTCTTTTTCTCTTTCGCCTGCGGGGTCGGGACTGTTTCCCTGGCTTGTGGCATCTGAAAGGTTGACAGACGTATAGTGGTAGAAGGTTCCGTGGGCTGGAGTCAGCTTCGTTAGATGCCTGGAGTTGAAACCTCCGTCAGTGTAGATTTGTGTGTTGGAGAGAGAAGCGCACACATGCAAGTTCTAACTTGAGGGTTCATCGCTCTGAGACATGGGAAATTGTGAGCAGTGGGTTGGTGCCTCAGGGCTCTGTCTCTGTTGTTGGTATAATGCCACAAAGGTGGCAATCTTTAGCACAGTTACAAAGGGTTTACTTCTGAGTAAGCATGCCTTGGGTTGCGCTGCAGCGTGGCTTCCCCTCTGTAATTCTGGTAAAATAGTGCCATCAGAATTACACCCAATCTAAATCCTTTGACTCAGTGGATTTAGAAGGGTGTGACTCTGCACTGCTAAGTTTGCTGCAGCCAAAATTAAGCAAGAGTTGTGGGTTGCTTTCAAGATTGAGAAATTGCATAATAGCATAAGCTTTTATGAATTACAGTCTGCTTTGTGAGATAAATGAAAAGTGAACATGGCTGCTCTTGAAAACTTGTGCTGTAATCTGTTGCTTAGTCTTTAAAGAGCCTCAAGATTCTTGTGGTGGTGGGTTTTTTTCTCCCTGGAAATTTATACTTATTTTTAGGTTTTTGTGCTTTGCACTGACATGTCCAATGCTATACCTTCTTGTTCTTTTGTTTTTAACACTTCCCTCCCTGTACTCTTTTGCACCACCTTACTACAGTTGAGATAACCAGCTTGGCTGTATAGGTGTGTGAGTTTGAGGCTTCTTTGGCCACAGTGTTCTGTTACAGAGGATGGACTTGTCTATGTTGTGCATTCTCTGGTAGTGTACACTATCCGAAAGGTGCAGGTGTGGGCCATGAGGGAGAGGCATAGACCTCCCTGGAGAACTTGCTCAACAGTGTAGGAGGAATGTTGTGGTTGTGACAACTTCTGTGCACATCGTCCAACATTTCTCAGGTCAAAAACAGAGATAGTCTTGTATACTTGCGATACTCATGTTCTCACACCAAAGCCTGCTGCCTGCCTTCACACCTCACCTAACTCATTGTTGTGAGGGTAAAATGGAAGAAAGGTGAACAATGTAAATTGCTTTTTGTCCCCTTGGGGAGAAAGGTTGGGGTATAAGTGAAGTAAATATACATTGTTGAAGAATATTCTTTGATTGTTGGCTAATTTCTCTGCAGATCTTCATTTTGAACCAGTATCTCAGTTGGGATATTTTCTTCTTTCTTTTTGCAAAAATTCCAGTGAGTTCATAAAGAGGACAAGGGAAGGGACCAATGTTCCCTCTAAGCTGTGGAGTCTTGTGAGCAAAAATTCTACTTTGTGAGCTACTGACATTAAAGTTGTGAGCAAGTGATTTGGCTACTACATAAATTAGTTTGCTCTGGAGCCATTCTTCCTGACTTAAGGCAAAAACATGTGAGCTGGAGGCTAAATAACAGTGAGCTAGCTCACACTAACTCAGCTTAGAGGGAACATTGGAAGGGAAATTTGTTAATCTCAGAAAATTTAACTTTGCCATTGTTCTAGTTGTCGAATAGCTGGATTCGAACACATTGAACATTATTTACTATTTTGATTGCCGGTTATAAAGAAGAAGTAGAAATAGTTGTGTTCTTGTGTGAGCATTCACCTGCATGCCCTCTGGAACTGAGATGTGTCCATTTGATCATTCAGGGATCTGACCCTTCCAGAGACCGGATGGAAACCTGGAAAACAGTATTGGTGCTGTCCTATACTAACAGAGTCATAAGAAGGACAAAACAGAAACAATGACTTACAAGGACTGAGACCCAGAAAATAGATAACCTATTGATTGCCTCCCCAGTAAAAAGGAAATTATTGGAGCACACAGGGGGGGACACTGCAAGAAGAAAATATAACCAGAGGATAGTTTTTGTACAGCTGACTTCCTAGGGGCTGAGGCCCCTTCCACTGATCGTGCTAGTCCTGGGTCTTTTTGGTTTCACAGAGCTCATCTGGGTGAGCATGTCATCATGTTTGTACTTGAAACTCCTACTCTTAACCTTTGTACAGCACCCACACTTTAAATGTGAACTTGCTGGGCCAGACCAGCCTTGCAAATAACTCCACAGACATCTCTCTTCCTACATATACCTGTGGTAGCCATTTGCCCTGAAAGGAGTGGGGGGGCTCCAGCTCTTCCAGCTTGCAAAGATTTCTCCTACTTAGTTGGCTGGAGGTAATTCCTACTTGCTGTGAGTGATGAGAAGATTGTCTGGAGTGTCACCATAATAGGAGAATATTTCCCACAGTTGTGCAGAGTGCCATTGGTCAAAAGGAGAAAATGGGAGAAGAGCAAGGCATCTTTTGAAACTAATTGGGGAGAGGTAAAGGTTCCCTTGCTCGAAAGCCAGTCGAATCCGACTCTAGGGTTGCGGTGCTCATCTCCGTTTCAAAGCCGAAGAGCCAGCGCTGTCCGAAGACATCTCCGTGGTCATGTGGCCAGCATGACTAAACACCAAGGTGCACAGAATGCTGTTACCTTCCCACTGAAGTGGTACCTATTTATCTACTTGCAATTTCTTGCTTTCGAACTGCTAGGTTGGCAGGAGCTGGAACGAGAGACGGGAGCTCACTCCGTCTTGCGGCACACTCGGGTCTCGTACTGCTGAACTACCGACCTTCCACAGCCTGCACTTCAGCGTCTTAACCACTTGAGGCACCGCAACTCCAAGGTGGTAATTGGGGAGAGGTAAAAAAGTGGTAAATTCCCATGCAAGTATAAAATTAGCACAGTAAGGAGAAGGTTTTAGATTAAAACCTATGGGGTTTTTTTTACCTTCAAAAATTATTTACAAAGTGGGGTCAATGAAAGTGGTGCTCCCTTCTACATAATCTGAAGTAGTACAGTCTGATGTACCAAGTTTAGAATTCCACCACCTCAATCTACTGTATGTTCTGTACCTATATCTGATACCTAGTTCATACAAGCAGAGTGACGTGGTGGGACTTAATTGGTAGAACGCTGATGTTGTAGCACTTCAGATTGCAGGTGATGTATTTCAGCCTGGACTGATCGTTTGTCTGAAAAGCTACATGCAGATAGAGTATTGGCATGGCAGTGAGAAGCACAGAGAGTTCTGCCCTGTGCTTTGCTTGCTGTGCTGGCTTCTGTTTGTGGAGAAATTATAACACAGGGAAGAATTCCACAATGTGGTCCTTCACATCCATGATTCCAGCTCTGGTCTTGACCACCTCCTTCTTCTCCAATATGTAAATCAGGTCCAGCCTCTGAGGACTTGTGCCCCAGTGCCTTCCTGATCTTGACTGTCACTTTCTGTCACTTGTCTTCTCAGTCTGGTCCAATCTGGCCCAGTGTTTTGTTTTCAAGACGAGTGGTATAGGGCTCCTGACTAGTTTTGTCTCCTTCCTTTGGCAGATGGCTCTTCCCCATCATTGGTCACATGGGCATTTGTACATCCGCTGGAATAATCCGAGACTTTGCAGGGCCTTACTATGTCTCTGTAAGTAGAAGCTCATTTCTTTGTGGACTTGGTTAGCAATGATTTTGTTTTTCACTGTGTCCCCTATTGAACTGGGCAAGGTTTGAAGGCTCAAGGGTATTGGCTGTTCTTACTGATTTGCTCCTCTTTGAATCAAGACTCCCCCAAAGGATCTTTAACCTCTGCAACAGAGCCCTCCCCATGAGTAGTTCCCTTCCACCATGCTTTGGTTCCCAGCCAGGAGTGAGCAGCTGAGGTCCACATGGAGAAGAGTAGCCCCTGTGATGGGAAGAGGTGAAAAGAGAGAGCCCTTTGTCTTGGGTAGAATCAGCTGGGGCTTATGAAGGGGGGGGGCAGGGAGTGGACTGAGTTGCTGCCCTGTCAGTTTCTCTATTCACAATGTATGGGAAGCTTGGAACCCTTGTCTTTTTCCCTCCTGACATCAGCAAAGAGTTCTGGAAAACTTCTTTGCATGCACTTGAAAGTGTTTTCTTTATTAGTACTAGCTGGAGAGTGTTCTATAGCGAAGGAGGGGGCAAGGTCTCTGTCTCTCCTAGGAAAGGAGCCAGCATTGATAGAGAAAGGTCTGTTGCCTTGTTCCTGGCAGGATTGGGAAGACCTGGAACATTAACAGGAGAGATGATTCAACTGGGTTTGTTGTATGTGTGTTGCATATGGGTGCCTTCTGAAGAGTGCTTGGGAGCTTCAGCTGATCCTGAATACAATGGCTGAATCTTGGACTAAGGCCTGCTGCAGTGAGCTTATCTTACCGGTCCTTAAAGATCTTTGGTGGCTTCCAGTTTGTTTCCAGGCACAATTCCAAAGGACCTGTGAAGTCCTCAACAGTCTGGGGCTTTCTGCCATATAAACCTGGCCCATTACCTGAGCTCATCAGTACTAGAGGTCCTCCTAAAGGTGGCCTGCCATGAGATGTTAGGCAACCAGCAACTGGAGAGGGGGCATTTCTGTGCTTGTTTCCTGCTTACAGAACTCTTTAGCATAATTCCATTTTTGCCACAGTTTAGGCACCAAGAAAACTCATGTTTTTCCAAGCTTTAGAATATTAGGTTCTGTTTCTGATTTGATTCCTATTTGTATTGTTGGGTCTGAAGGATGACTGGGTGGAATATTTCTTGGACTGTGTGATAGGTAATTGATCAAGAGTTCACTGATTTGGTTAATTCTACTGCTGTTGTTTTACTGTTTCTTTATTGTGTTAACTTACTTCTTGTAGCTTGGATGCTTTTGTAAGATGAAGACCATTTTTGGTGCAAGAGTGGAGTGAAAAAAAAAGTTTTAAGTAAATAATCCTTGAGTGTTGTGAGTTGGTGGTGTAAAGCTTGCTAATAGATGTGCTTTTTAATTTTTTCCCTCTGCACTCTGTCTAGGAAGACAACATGGCTTTTGGGAAGCCTGTCAAGTAAGTAGTTTTTTGTTTCTTCATGTATGTTCCAAGCCTCATGCAAATTCCTTTTCTCCACAGAAAATTTAACAGACATATCATCATGTTGAGACCCAGTATGGTGGAATGGCCAGAATGTGAGGCCCAGGTTTGAATCCCTGCTCTGCCGTGGAAGCTTTCTGGGAGATCTTGGGCCAGTTGTATTTTCTCAGTATAACCTACTTTACAGGGTTGTTGTGAAGATGCAGTCGAAGGGGAAGAACCAAACAGTCAAAGGGCAAGATAAAAAAATGAAATTAATAATAATGAAGTTTATGTGTAACTAAGAAGGCAGTGTGAGTATTTAAAAAATCTAGCATATGGCTGGAGCCTACACTTCAAATGAGGACCATAACACTGAATCCCTATAAGGAGCAAATCACCGGTCCATCCAGCTCTGTAGTGTCTTGTCTGGTGGCAGCTCTCCAGAGGCAGAGGATGGCCTTTCCCATTACCTATCATCTGGAGTCTTTTAACTGGAGATGTTGGGAATTAAGCCTGTGACTTCCTGCATGCAGAGCAGGTGCTCTCCCCTGACCATCAGCCCCTCCTCTGAGACGAGATGGCCAGGTTGAACAGAGTATGTAAATCTTATACTGAGTCATGCCCTTAGTCCCTCCAGTTCATGATATTTGCCAGATAACAGTATTTTCCTTATGTCTTAATAAGAAGGAGGGTCAGACATTGGGATCCACAAGACAACAGCTGATGACTTTCTGAGCTAGTTCTTCTGTATCTTGGGGAGATTCCAGCTTTGAAATTGCTGGGAGGAAAGCCTGACACTCCTTGTTAGCTTTATCCCCCCTTTCCCTTCCGTGTGTGCTGTTTAAACATTCTCCTTGCCTCTTGAGCACTGGCCCTTCTGTACAGCAGTGCTGCCAAGAACAACCCCCCACGATAATAGTTTGCTGCCAGCCCTGCCTCTTCACCTCTGGCACCAGAATGAAGCAAAACAGGCAAGTGGCCACCTGCGCTCTTGCATTCATGGACTGTTTGATGAGTCAGCTGACCAGCATGCCGGCCTTTTTTCCTTTCCTTTTCAAATTCTTTTTTTCATATGTGGTGGACATGCGATAAAGTGAAGAAGTACTGGTCTTGCATCCATGGGTGGTTACAAAAAGTGCTGAAAATTATACCAGAATTATTTTTTATTGAATATAGTACCAGAAAAATACAAAAAACAAGACTTTTATCTTATCATACACATAGTGACAACAGCAAGAATATTATATGCCAGATATTGGAAAAGAAATGAAGTTCCCCCTAAAGGAAGAAATTATAAATAAAATATTGGAAACAGCAGAGATGGACAATCTAACTTCAATTTTGAGAGGATATAATAAAGAAGGTTTTGAGGACACTTGGTCAAGATTTTATGAATGGGTAGAAGAGTATAACACTTAAAACTTTCCAGCATATAACCAAAATAAAAAGAAATAAGAACTATATATATTCAATTGTAAACAAAAGGTATATATGAAAATCATAAGGTGGATAAAAGAAATGAATTTTTCTGGACACAGTATGAGGTCAATAACTAGGTTAAATAATGATATAAATGGAATTCCCGCAGCATGCCAGCCTTGATTTCCATGGCTTCACATATATTGTCTCAGCATAATCTTTACTACAGTCCTGTAACCCATGTTGTTATCCCCATTTTGCAAATGGGAGATGGAGAGAAGGGAGGGCTTGTTTGAGGCCACCTACCGAGTAGATGGCAGAGCGAAAACCGGGGACTTATGTATGTATATAGAGTGCACAGTGCCATTAACATCACAGGTCTTAGAAGGGTGTAACTCTGCTTAGGACTGCACGGTCAGTCTCTTAGCTGCCACTCCACACCAGCTGTCATTAGTATCCAGCACAGTTTCTCTTTTTGGTCCCTGAGCTACTGCAATTCCTCTCACTCTACAGAGAGATGGCCAAAGTATATCTAGCTTCATTTGTTCCTCTCTCCCTTTCCTTTCATCACTCTGTAGTCCCACCCCCCACCCCGGCATTGTAATTTAGATTGCAAGCTCCTGCGGCCTTTATTGCTCTGTGAGTGCCCTCTGAATTAAGTCGAATCAAATCAAATTTATGATTACAGTTCGTGACCAGCACAAGATCAGTTACAACAACGTACATTAATCGTGAATTAAGACTGTATTAATCTCTTTAAGAACTGAACCTTGAAAACCTTTTGGGTTTGTCCTACCATTTGTTATCACTGGCTTGCGTTAGGAGGACTGTGTTGTTTGCCTTGGCCTTTGACAAAGGCTGTTGCTGTTGGCAGAGTCTGCTGAAATACCTGTTTAGCCTACTAGTCCTCTCCTGGCTTCTGAGACTTGCCAGCCACTTCCTATGCAATTTCCAGATGGTATTTGCTATATTAAGGGCTAGAAACTTACCATTTAAAATTAAAACGGGGGACGGGGATGGGACACAAGCTAAGATTCTGCACTTGCAAGATACAGTCATGGAATGCACACAGATCCACATTCAAAAAGGTCCAGGCCTGCAGAGATGCTAGCTAAAAGCCTGAGTTGCAGAAAGGTTTGCTAGAGGGGGAGGATCTTTCATCTGGGAGAAAGCAGACTCTTGAATGCCTGTGTCTGAACTGGTGTCTTTGGTTCTTGGATTTTTCAGGTACTGGAAGCTAGATCCGAACAAAGTATATTCCTGTGGCCCCAATGCCTGGGATACTGCAGTCCACGATGCCTCCGAGGAGTACAAGCATCGTATGGTGAGGGAGTTCAGATTGATTCCTCAGATTCTTTGTTCATATCCAACACATTTGAGATGGTTTCCTGCTTAAAATATATGTGAAAATGATAAAACACAGAACAAAGTAAGCCAGTAAAAACAGTATTGGAAAAGGCATGAAGTACCATTGAAATTAGGAGCTGCGGTGGCTCAAGTGGTTAAGACGCTGAACTGCAGGCTATGGAAGGTCAGTAGTTCAGCAGTTCAAGACCCGGGTGCCGCATGATGGAGTGAGCTCCCGTCTCTAGTTCCAGCTCCTGCCAACCTAGCAGTTCGAAAGCAAGAAATTGCAAGAAGATAAATAGGTACCACTTCGGTGGGAAGGTAACAGCGTTCCGTGCGCCTTGGTGTTTTGTCATGCCGGCCACATGACCACGGAAACTTCTTCGGACAGCGCTGGCTCTTCGGCTTTGAAACGGAGATGAGCACCGCAACTCTAGAGTCGGATTCGGCTGGCTTTCGGGCAAGGGAACCTTTACCTTTACCATTGAAATTAAACTAAAACCAGCAGCTCTACCTTTACCATTGAAATTAAACTAAAACCACATTAAAAAAAAATGTAAGCATTCCAGCTTGGTGCCCCTCATTCAGCTTAAGCAGCATAAACTGAAACCAATGTGGCTACAAATTTGCACATGCCATTGGAAAACGTAGTTTAGTTGCATTGCTTTAGGGGTTAATCTTGTTCTTATCAACTGATCAGTTGGGAATATAAGCAGGTTCGCCAATTACCAGCAGTCAATAGGAAACAGATTGATGCCCATCTCTTCTGCCCTTACACTCTGGCCCTTATAAAGGGAAAGTGAATAAAATACCCTTCTCCATTTGAGTAAAATTGTTTTAACAATGTTTGTTTTTTTTGGCAAGGTTTCTGTCCCTCTGACAGCTGCCTTAAAGAAATGTGCTCAGGTAAAATTTTGCTCAGCACTGAGATGAAGTGGTTGGCAAAGCTTTGTCTTGTATAATATTGTCATAACGACAGAGCAGGCTTGCTAGAAGAATGTCATACGTATTTTTATTCTCTTTGAACTGTAGTGGATATGTTGTTCTATGCATGTTTTGGACAAATGTGCATATAGCTTTTCCAGCTGTGCCTTATGGCCAAATGGTAAATGTCAAGGTTTGCCTACAGATGCCATTCTTGAATAGATTTGCAGCTGACCTCATGCAAGATTTGCCTGGTTTATTTTCATTTGGTGTGCAAAGCATATCCTTCAACTGTGTGAGAGAGAAGGGGGGGGAGTGCAACGCAAGAATGGTGGTGAAATTCAGCACACCAACAATTTCTTGGAAGCTTTTACTCACCTTGCTGTGTATGCAGTAGTTGCTACCTAGAGGAAAATGGGGGTGCATCTTAGAAACATCACGTGATATAGATTTCCTGAGTCTACAATACTTTAGATTACAAGGATGGGAAGATGTGTGCATATTTGTGATGCAAACATTTTCTGACAATAGATAACTATCATGTAATCAGGGAGAAAATTCTTCCCCTTTCCATAGATTTCCATTGATTGGGGGGGGGGGGGACTGAGGCATAGACTCTCTCTTGCATTGCAAGATGATACAGAGCCAAATTAACTCCCAGTACTTTGGTAAATGGTGAAGAGAAATTTTTGGTAATATAATAGCAGACAAAGAAGAGCTGGGGTTTTTCTTTTCCTCCTGAGAATATCTGTGGAAGAATGAAAGACCTAGAGGTCTCAATTTGTGCCTCTCTTTTTAAAAAATCCCAGCACAACCTCTGCTGTGACAACTGCCATTCACATGTCGCGCTGGCCTTAAACCTTATGCGCTACGACAACAGCAGCTCCTGGAATATGATCAAACTGTGCTTCCTCTCCCTGTTACACAGCAAGTACGTCAGGTGAGTAGAAAATGGGCTGCTGTGCATACCCTTGTGGATAGGGGGTCTGGATTTGCCCCATAAATATCCAAAATGCAGAAGATGCCATTTGCATTGGTGTCGCTTCCACCTCTCTGGCATGCCTTGCTGGGGCATCCCCCCCAGACTCCTGTTTCCATTAAGCCGTTGTGATTATTCCCATCTTGTGGCATCCCTTCTGCAATCCAGTGGTCCTTGGCTAGGCTGCTCACTTCATATTCACTCGAACACATGAAACTTATACTTGGTCCGTCAAGGCCAGTTGTGTCTGCTCCGACTGGTAGTGGCTCTCCAGGGTCTCAGGCAGAGGTCCTTCATATCACTTCCTACCCAGTCTTCTTTGCTGGGGATGCCAAGGATTGGACCTTCTGCAGACATAACAGATACTGTTCCACTGAGTCACATCTCCTTCTCCTAGGATGACAGAGACAGAGACAGAGAGGAGTCCAGTGTCTTAACTGAGGGTTGGCATTGTGCGTGCGTGCGTATGTACAAATCACACCCATACGGGACCTCCTGCCAAACCCTGGGGCCTCTTTGGGCCTTCTGTTTCTCCTGTGTGCTGTTTTGGCTTGCTTGTCAGCCCTCTTGGGACAAATGGTAGCTGTTGCTAGCTACCTTCCTGGAGGAAATGACTAAAGGCAACCATGTTAAAGCTGAATAATGGATCAGAAGGGATTGCTGTGGATATGATCTGTTCTGGGAGTGGAGGAGATGAGAGGCAGTAGCTTGCATCCAGCTGTGTCTAAAGAAGGTGCATGAAGTTTTCCTACAGCCCATTCTGATCCCTCCCCCTGAAAGATCATTCCTGGGTCACAGAACCTCATGGAGGTTGGGGGAGGCAGCTGTGTGGATGGGGAAGGGTGGGAATTCATTTCCTTTGCCCTCTTCTGACAGCGGCAGTGCTGTGCTAAAGTTTGTGAGAGGAAGGCCAATTTTATCCACTTTTGCCCTTCTCACTGCACCCCTCCCCACACACCTGCACAGCTGTTCTTCCATGTGGATCCCACAACCTATGAATGATCTTTCCAGAGGAGAAGAAAGGGCTGCTGGAGCAGAGAAGAACCTGGGGTGGGGAACCGGTGTTCTGAGGGTGCGTCACTGGATACAAGGCAGTTGTCTCACTTGAGCTGCCAGGCAGAGCTTTGCGATCTCTCGTCTCTTCTGCCAACAGCTGCCTGGCAGATCTCCAGAGTCTATGGCCAGCCTTAACAGCCAAGCTAACCTTGTGTCTGAGTTCCTCGTCAGCCTTGCCTGTCCTCTTTGGATGGGGGTGGGGCCTTGCCTCTGGCATGGCACTGAGCTTCCAAAGTGAAGAACATCTGTGGGAGCCCAGCTCTGTTGTCTCTGATGCCAGCTTCAGGGGCAAAGCCCACTCAGTCAACCTGACAGTGATTCAGCAAGCCTGCAGCATGGATGACTCCTCCCCAGCTCCTTTCTTGCGTTCAATTTAGTCTTTAATGCAGCCAGAATAGGCTGCATCCAAGGCTGGGACCTGCTAAAATCACCATCTTTTTTAATTAATTTGGCACCTTTTCTTGCTGTACCTTTTTGCTGCCCTTTTTTTGCTGTACTTTTTTGCTGCCCCCCCATTTCTGTCCATGGTTCTTTGCAGCTGTATCACTGACAAGTCTCTTGTTGTCTCCTAAACCTCTTTCCTGTCCCTTGCAGCATAGGAGGATTTGTGAAGACCTGGCTTCCCTTCATCCTCTTTTTGGGGATTGTCCTGACAGTCAGCCTTACCCTCCACTTACGGTGATTGACAACCCCTGCCATCAGCACTGAAAACTGTGGGCCGTTCAGTCCAGCAAGGAGCTGCTTGGTCTGGGAATCTTTTGGGGAAGAAGTCCATCTTGCTTTGTAATGCCAACTTGCCACCTATCCTGTGGGGACCGCCCTTCTTCAGTATGTGTTTTTTTCCTCCCCTCTAAAGGTAGGGGTTGGGCGACCATCACGTCTTGCTTCTCAACACGTCCCCCTGGTCATGAAGATTACCATAGGAGGACAAGCTATGCAGGTTTCTGGTTGTGGGGCGTGGAAGGGCATGGCTGATCCTGAGGTTCTCCTGTCTTCTGTGTGTGTGTGGGGGGGGGGGGAATTCCTGCCAGAACAGGAGGTGACTGTGGTCTCTTTGCATCATGAGTAGCGATTGGCCATTAATATGTCTGTCTGCCCACTTACAGATACATTGCACTTAACTGTGTTGTTGCCACAACCCATAAGATCCCCCTCCCCCCGTTGAGGCTGGGTGCCTCAGTGTCAGCCTGAAAACTCAACCGTTATGGTGGTGCTCTGTGCTAAGACTGGAGGTTCTGAGCTCAGGATGGGGCTAATGTCCCCTGCCCACTTTTGTGGCTCGTACTTGACCACAGTGTGTGGCTCAGGCGTTCCTCAGAAAGTGCTTTTTCTCATTTGACATTCCTAGGAAATGCCATTACTCTTCTGGGGCTGCTGGTTTTTCCTCAACCTCCCACCAGCTGTAGCTGTTGCTGCTGGAGGCAAGATTGCCCTTGAGTAGTCCTTGACTAAGCCTATGCTGAGAGTTATGCCCTTCACAACTCTACCATCCTCACAGTTTTGTGCATGACAGGGGGAGGCATACGAGATGAGGTGTTTAATTTTTTTTCTAATATGGATAATACACTATTAGTCTGTGCACCAGAAAGATCCAGCAGCATAACCAGCACTGGGAAATGTTTGTCCTCTCCTGCCCAGAGGGCTGAATTTAGACTGCCGCGGACCAATATGACATTTGAACAGAGGAGAATGTAAGGGGGAGGAAGTTTTTTACATCCACAGAAGCAGTAGAGAACCGGGTGCTTTCTGTCCCCAGCGTCAGTCCTCTCAGTTTCCAAAGCAGCTTAATTTTTTCTTGTGGTCTCGCCCTTGTTGCTTAGATGCCTCTTTAAAAAAAAAAAAAAAAAAGATGGCGGGGTCCCCTTAGGCCCAGTCTGGTAAGCATGCTGAAGTCCTCAAGAACTTCAGTCAAGTGTCGGATCAGATGCCAAGAGGGATGTTTTTTAAACTGTTTGCATTGGGTTTTACAAAGAAGCTGTCTTGTCGACCAGATACCTCCGCTCCTTCGCACTGCCCTCCATAACAACCAACCACAATAAAAACTCATTTTTCTCTCCCCCTACTCTTCCACATTCGGTGGAGGGCTTTTTTTCCTGCCTGGAAGCCTGAACTGGCTTTCTTGTTCCCTGGTATTCTCCAGCTGCCTCTGTCACCACTCTGCTCCAGTAAGGGGGAGGGCAAAAAGGAGCTTCTTTGGAGCGACTCCGCCCTTTCCAACTTCTTTCCGTTCCACCTTTGCCCCTTTCTATTGCGAATCTCCACCTTTTCCAGCCATCCTCTCACACCTTAAATGCTTTGCCATGTGCTAAGGAGGGGTGTTGTCTGCCCGTACACCTGTCACCTGTGCCCCCCCCTTCCCTGCTGCATTCCGCAATTTCAGACATGAACTAGGCAGCAGCTGTAGAAAGCTGACAGAGATCAAAGGTCTGATGTCAAAGCAAAGGTGTGTCCTGTTCCATCCAGCTAAGCCTGGAACTTTTCTTTTTGCTCACAGGGTTTCTGGTTTTGATGGCAATAGTAAACCAAGACTACCCAGTGGAGAAACTTCCCTCTCCTCTCCTCTCCTCTCCTCTCCTCTCCTCTCCTCTCCACTTCCTCTCCTCTCCACTTCCTCTCCACTTCCTCTCCACTTCCTCTCCATTTGTTTCTCCTCCTTGCAGTGACTTGCCAAAAAGAGTTCCAGGAAACCTAGGAAATTCTCAAATCTGGTTCTCCCTCTCCCTCTCCCTCTCCCTCTCCACTTCCTCTCCTCTCCTCTCCACTTCCTCTCCTCTCCACTTCCTCTCCTCTCCACTTCCTCTCCACTTCCTCTCCACTTCCTCTCCATTTGTTTCTCCTCCTTGCAGTGACTTGCCAAAAAGAGTTCCAGGAAACCTAGGAAATTCTCAAATCTGGTGCTCAACACCTTTCCGGATGTCTGATGAATGGATTTTAAAAAATGGTTTTCAGTTGCCAAAATTTGAGGCTGAGTACTGATCAGAGTACCAGTATTAAAAATGCTGTCCCCCCCCCCCCCCCCCCCGCCACCTTTGGTATTCTCAGGTGGGTCTTAATGTTCGTGTTCTGCATAACAGACCTGTTAAGAGATGTCTAAGCCCAGATTTAGTGGTTCGTGGAGGAAACTGTGGTTGCCTCAATAGCTCAAGCAATAAAAGCCTGTTGAAAGGAGTGGGGTTCTGGTTGTGCTGTATAGTTCAACTTGCCTTGGTTTCATAATGTTTTGACCTTGGTGTCCAAGAAGGTATCCCAGTCATCAGATGTGGGTGGCAGGGGGAGGCTGAACTCCATAATTCCTGGTCCTTTGCAGTAAGCTTTTAAGCAGCTGTGGGGTATTGGCCTGTTGTGATGCAACCGTATGGCCCCTTCTGTATAGCCAGCTTGCAGCCTTGCCTGCGTTTACCAAGCTGCTGAAAATGGGTCAGCAGGGCTATAGAAAATGTGGGTTGAACAGGGTCTGCCTTGGAGCAACAACACTCAAGATGTCTTTAGTACAAGCCAAAGGTCCAGTCTTAATCCATGACAAGGCAGCCGTCTATTTTTTGTGCAATAGTTTAATGCCTTGGACTGGCTTTGCGAGGTACAAAATTCCTATACGGAAGGTGCTTCTGCAGAGGGGTTCAGCATTGCTGCCTGTAGTTTTCTCTGGCTGCCTGCATGCGCTGGGGATGCAACAGTTGGGTGTGGCTTCCTCGACTCATGTATTGGAGCAAGGGGTGGTGTAGAGAAACTGGTCCATAGAGCCTCTACACAGATTCCATGTATGCACAGAATGGCCCTTCGGTATGGGAATTTGGTAAAACACAAAGTACATTTCCAAGGTTTCCCACTAAGACACGTTTCAATTTGTGTCATGTGCTTGACTATCCCTTTGTTTGGGCCTCTGGGGTTCTGTTTTGGAGTTCATTTGTCTGTCAGGTTGGGGGGTGTTCCCCTTTCCTTCCCCCCTGCCCTTGCTGGCGATTAGCCGGATGGGTTTCTGTCCTTTTGAGCTGGTTCTCCAGGGCGTGCTGGACTCCTTTGTACATATCGAACTCTGCCGCTGTGTTTTCATAAACCTGATGATGGTGGAAAATAAATGCATTTCTGTGTATGACTCCAAGCTGTGGTTGTTTCATTGTTCTGGCTGGCTCTCTTAAGAACATAAGAGAAGCCAACGTTGGATCAGGCCAATGGCCCCTCCAGTCCAACACACTGTCACACAGTGGCCAAAAACACCAGATGCCATCAGGAGGTCCAGCAGTGGGGCCAGGACACTAGAAACCCTCCCACTTTCCCCCTCCCCAAGCACCAAGAATACAGAGTATCACTTGCCCCAGACTGAGAGTTCCTATCTATACCTTGTGGCTAATAACCACTGATAGGTTTATCTAATTCCCTCTTGAAGCTGTCCATGCTCCTTTCAGCTGTCAAGAAGGGGTTATATTTGGGACAGAGGGATTAAAAACCTGCATTGCTGCATTCCCGCAACTTTGCTGTAGTAGAAGAACTGGGTATTTTGCACAATCAGCATTTCATGTATTGTGTTTAATTTCTGTACAGTGATAACCATTTTGTCACTATGAAGGACGTATTTATCTTTCCTCACAAGCCTTTTTGAAGGAATTTGGACCTTCTTCCATGGTGCTGTTCCCAGTGTTCTCAAAGCCAGGTGCTGATCAGCTTTAACTTTGATACCTTGTTAGGTGCTCCTAGATCAGTGATCTCCCACCTTTCCAGACATCCACCTTTAACCCCTAGATGGCATCATGGTTTTCCCTGCAACAAAAACCCTAGCCTAGCACAGCATAAAGTTTTTGTACTAGCTTGGCTGCTGTGCTAGCTGTTTTTCTTGCAGAGAGCTTTTTATTGAAGGGGCTGCATTTAAAAGAAATCCTCACGTAATAGTTCAGGTTACTAGCACTATATTCTTAATTCCTGCACAAGGCAGGCCAAAATTATGCAGGATAAGGTAGGGGTTTATTTCCTTCATTTATATTTTACTTAATTTATAGCATACCTTTATCCCAAAAGGGCCCCCAAAGTGGATTACACCATTCTCTCCTCTTTTTTTATCCTCACAACAACCCTGTGAGGTAGGTTAAGCTGAGTGTATGATTGGCCCAAGGTCACCCAGCAAGCTTCCATAGCAGAGTGGAGATTTGTTTCCTGTGTTGTAGTCTGACACACTCCTCCATGTTTACAGTAAAATCCCTGAAATTAGAAAGCTAGCATATCAGGGAGAGGGCTGGCAATGAAGTTTTGTTCAAGTTTTGTTCAAGCGGGAGCGGTGGCACAGGGGATTTATCCTCTGGTTAAAACATCTGAGCTGAACAGTACTTCTGTCATTTCTAGCCCTGTGCTGGTGTGAGCTACCAGCCTTGTCCCCAGCTCGCCTTCCACCCAGCGGTTCGAAAGCTTCAGCGAGTAGATAAACTGGGTACCACTCCTTAGAGAGGGTGGGCACACTAAACCCCCTTTGGGGGAGGTGTTAGCCGGCAAACGGAATGTCCAGCGCGTAAGATCGAAAGCCTAGAAAGAACTCTTCAGCATCAAGAAAGCCTGTAATGGGCCGTCTGGCCAGGCGGTGGCAGTGCTGCGCTGCAACTTGAAGCAGTCCTGGAGAAAAAGCTGCATGTCTGACCCTACAGCTGAACAAACTCCCCCGTCGACTGCAAACATGTGTGATTTAAAGATCTATATGTTGTCTTCCCTTACCCCTTTGAATCATTGTTAGCCCCGTGTCTATATGAGTAACTGTAAATCGCTCAGAGCCAGCAAGCTCTGCAGGATTGAGCGATTAATAAATTGAAAGATTATTATTATTATTATTATTATGTGTATTTATCCTTGTAACCCACCTGAGCTAGAAAACTGAAAAGGGGTGGGGGAGAGACACAAAACTTCCCTCTTTATTGAAGTATAAAAAGAAGAAGAGGGTCACCTTCTCATTTTCCATCTGTAGGGTACGCTGCTAAAAAAATTCCTGGCTTCAGTTCCTGCTATTATTCATCTGTTGACTGGTTCTGCTGTTGAGAGCTCCCACTAGAAGGAGACCTTATCCTGGAGTGAAGGTATTTTTGTGCTGAGAAGTTACCCGATTAAAAGAAGGTCAATGTGAATTGGTCAACTTCATCCTTGAGACTCTGTTGCATTCTTTATTAAATTCCTTTTAAAGGTTCACCGGGGTGGCCTAGCAGTCTCTCTCCCCCTCAGTGACTCAAAATATCTGCTGCTGTCACTTCCAATCCCCTCTGTCACAAACTTAATTGATCACACTGTGTCTTGACTGACCTCAGCAAATTACTGCTTGCTTTTGAGCTAAGCTGAATGAAATTTCAGGAGGGAGGGAAGCCTGGCTGTTTCAGTTCAGGGTTCAACCCCTTATATAGATACACTGGCTCAGTTCAGACATCACACAAAATCAGGGTATAATTTTAACTAACCAGGGGCTGGTGTGACTGTCTGAACATGGACAACTGTAATATGGTGGGTTACTCAAGCCAGTGTGCCTACCAGCTCAGTTGAGAGGCCCATGCATCTGACTTGTAGGGCTTGGCTCGGCTCGCTGCTGCCAGCACTGCTAATGTTCAGTTCACTCCTGCAGCTCAGTTCACCCTGGTCAACATCACTGAGGCTCAACTTGCTCTGGGGCTGTTTTAACTTCTCATTCTGCTCCTGTAAATTCTGTGTTATGTATGAACTGGGTCTCTGCCTCTCAATGAATAGAGAATAGTGTAGACCCTACGTTGGATTTTTCATTTAGTGTTTGTAAATCCTCTCTGTTTCATAGGGGGCTCTCCCAACAGGGCAGAATAGTAGCAGGGGAGTGATATGATCCATATCAGCAAAATGACATGGTGGGATTAAAACAGTGAACTATTTCACTGCCACCACCCCAGCAGATGCTATTTTTCTTAAAACTGGGAGATCCCATCCCAAGTCTGCTGTTGCATCTGGTTTGAACTTCAAATCTTTGCTAAATCTGATTCCAAAAGCACATGACAGTGGCAGAAAAATCTGGCTTTCGCTCTCTTGATGGATGGGTCCAGTTGGCAGGTTGCTTGCATTATTTCAAACTGCTCCGGACAGAAGAAAGGAGAGTGGCCAAAAAACCCCGACGTTTCTGGAATAACATAAAGCCTAGTAACTACCAGAGTTGGCTGAATCAATGTGAAAACACAACACTAGAGTACGGTATAGATTTTGGCATTTCAAAAGCCTAGACATATCAGGCCTGAAGGTTTATTAGAAATCAGATAAGAGAATCTTCCCCTGAGAACAATATGGACTTGTTCTGGGATTTGATATTTTCTCCATAGATTGTCTCCAGACTAAATTTTCCATTAATGGAAGGGATTTCTTGCACCTGGCTGGATGACCTTGGGCAAGCTGTAGTTCTGATAAGAGCTGTCCTTGGAAAAGAGCAGTATGTGTCAGAGTTCTCTCAGCCCCACCTACCTCACCCGGTGTCTGTTGTGGGGAGGGGAAGGGAAAGGAGTTTGAGGGCTGCTCTGAGACACCTTCGGATGGTGAAGGGCGGGGTATAAATCCAATCTCCTCCTCTTCTTCTTAAACATTTATACCTTGTCTTTCATCGGGAAAGTTTGT